GAGGACCCCCCAATACTTAAATGTTAGTTTTCATCTTATATGAGCTAAAAATTAAAGTAGAATAAGAATAGTGAAACCATTATGATCAGAGAAATATCTTCAATTGCCCCTGCCCCCAACTGACTTCAGTTGCATTTTGAAGAGGGCAGCACTTCATGGAAAGCAGTCACATTAATATCATTACTGCCTACAGACAAATCTTTCTCTTGATCACTGGTCATTAATGTTCATTCCCAATGGGTTAGCAGCACTGGAAGGTAAATATGCCCACCTTTCTCTATGCTATAATGTATAAGGACTTAACTAAAAATCAAACCCAAAACACCAATAAACACATTTAAAAGTTTCTCTTTTTTGCCTCCTGTAGTCAAAAACAAGTGTATGAAAAGCCAAAAAAGATAACATTTGTTGAACACTTTGTACTAGCCATTTTCTTAAGCACTTTAAGTCTTACAACAACCTTTTGAGTACTTTTACTGCATCTCTTTCAGAGAGGAGGAAAATGACTATTAGGGAGGTTCAGTAAGGAGCTCAAGGTTAATTAGTTAGCTAGTTAGTAAGCCCAGAAATTAATTTTTGTCCTTTATTGTTGTGCTGGTGGGGATACATTGTGGCACTTACAAAGGTTCTTACAATGTATCAAATATATCATACATGAATTCACTCCCTCTGTCCTTTCTTTTATCCGCCCCCCCATTCCTGGAATAGTTCAACAGGTATTATTTTTGCATTTACATACATGTACACATTTTTTTTGCATCATATTTACCCTCCTACCCTTTTCCCACCACCTTCCTCCTCCACTGGTGCCAACCCTCCTCCCTGGCAGGACGTGTTCCACCCTCCTGTTCTTGGATTTTGTAAAAGAGAAAAAGAAAAACATGTCATTTTTGCTTGTTTGATAAAGGGAATTTCCTTGTAATGTTTCCGTGCATGTATGTATTATAACTCCAATTAGTTTATCTCCTCTAATTTTCTTCATTCTACCTACCTTAGTCCCTCTCTTATGGTGGTTTCAGCCAGTTTAAGATTTCTATATTCATTCTTATATAGAGAATATATCACCCACATTCAAGTTCTTAGTTTCCTTATTTTACCCTACCCTCCCGTGTGTGTGTCCTGTTTTTCATAATATTGCTGTATTTGTAGTAGGTCTATATTTCACGTATGAGAGGGAGAACATGCGGCTTTTGGCCTTTTGAACCTGGCTAACTTCACTTAAGATGATGTTCTCCAGTTCCAACTATTTACCTGCAAACGACAAAATTTCATTCTTCTTTGTGGCTGAGTAAAATCCCATTGTATATAAATACCACATTTTCTTAATCCATAAGCCCAGAAATTTAAATCCAAGTAGTTGGCACAGTCCAAAATCTTAACTGTTATTATGTTTTATTTCCCAAAATGCCCAGATGTAATATGTCCATGAGGATTTAAGCATAAATCTATATCTTCTTTTAATCTGAAAAACACAGAAACTCCTATTCGAAGCATCTTGAATAAAAGGAGGCATTCACATCAGTAAGATAGAGAATGAGCAGGTATGCTGCTGACCTCAGGGATGAATAGATCCAGGAACTTGAACACTGTCAGGATTCACTTTGTACTCCTTGCTGTATGTCAGACTCATACTTTCAGAACTTGTGAGCAACCACATAGCAGAGAACCGCCTTAGGGAAGCTCCAGATTCGTATCCTAACATGAGCGCAGAGGGAAAATGTCCCGTTTCTATCGGCTCCAATAAAAACAATTACTGTGAAAGACTCTGGTTAGCCCAGTTTAGGTCACAGCCCATCCTGGGGTCAGTCACAATGGCAAGGCTGATAGCGAACTGCAATTTGTCCACACTAGGTTACATGTCTACCTCTGTAGCTTGGAGAGTTGGGTCTGTACTGGAGGAAAAGAGAAAGGTGCTGGATGGTGGGGAAGAGGGACTGCTAACCTACATAGTATGTGTACACCCCTCTAGAATTTGCAAAGTTCTCTTATGTGAGTCTTGCCTTTTGAGTCTCACAGAGACCCTATGAAGAGGGCAGGTAAAGACTTACTAAGGAAACAACAGTGGCTTAAGATGTAACAAATTCTTTGCTACTTTTCGCATTGAGAGGTGGACTTCATATCCCCTTCACTTGAATCTGGGCTGTCCCTGTAATACTTAACCAATAAAATGTGGAAAAACTTGTAGTGCTCCTCAGCCTCACCTTCAAAATCAATTGCAGCATCCACTTTCTCTGGGAATGCTCACTTTTAGGATACTCCTCTCAAAACCCAGTCATCAGGCAGATGTCTGATCCACATGGAGAGAGCATAGGTAGATGCTCTAGTCAACAGTTTCAGGGGAACTCTCAGCTGACAGTCAACATCAACTGCCAGATACCCCCCCTTCACACCTCCCACCCCCAGCTGCCTCCACAAAGGAACCATTCTGGATATAGCAGGGTGGTTTTGTTTTATAGTAATATAGAACCAAAGCAAAAATTAAGACTCTAGTGGTCTCCTGTGACAGAGCTAGAAAGTGTTAGTGTTGTGATGCTAAGCTGGACACTGATATTAAACCTACAAGGCATTGATTCTTCATTGCCTCTAACTAAAAAACAGAACAAATTTCAATTCAGAATCTTCATTTGTAGAACTTCTGCCAGGATGCCAACTGGGGAAGTAGGGCATATAATTTGTTCATTCAACTGGTCAGCAGACATTTGAGAAGCTCTATGTGCCAAGCAACAGAATAAAATGTACTTTTGGTTCTCAAAGGAACTTAAAGTCTAATCAATAGGGATCCTCGTCTCAATGAAAAATCACAAACGCCATGATGGACAAACTGCAAGGTGCTTTTGAAAACCGTGATGAGGCACGAAATGCACCAAAGCATGAATTAATAGGCATACTTTTGATGGGTGTAGAAGGGTATCTCTAAATTTGTGCTGAGGATGATGAAGAATACATTTTTAGTGAATTATTTATCAAGAAAATGTAATAGAAATGGGGAAGGAGGCAGAGAAGAAGAACCCAAGGATTTGGAAGTTTTAGTCCTCATTTGGCCAAGTTGCTGAACCTCTAAGCTTCCTGGCCTACACAGCTAAGACAGGATCGCACTATTTCTTCTTTCTGTACTTGAGAACTTAGTCCTCCAATTCTTTAAGTCTGGTTCTCCTTAGCTTGGTCCTTATCTGTTGCTCTTCTCACTCTGCAAATTCTCCTTAAGTGATCTCATCCCATTTTTTACTCGTACAATGAAACCCTTACATGCTTAGCCCAGTTCTTTCTGTGGTTTGTCTCCCAATGCACATTGCTTGATGTTCCTCAGGCAACACATTCAAAATATGCAGAGCTGACCTCATCACCACATCCACTTAAGTATTACTTCGATTTCTCTCTGGAGAATCAATAATCAACATTACTACAAAGCTAGTGGCCTGTAAGAGTGACACTCTCCTGCCCCTAACTAACCAACACCAACCTGGCCTTTTTGAAATCCCGGCTTAGCCCTCCAAACTTCACTATGCTATCGTAGGCTCCACTGCGCAACGGACTTGCAGTCCTTCTGTCTACCGAGTGCTGGTTCTCCTTAGCTTGGTCCTTATCTGTTGCTCTTCTCACTCTGCAAATTCTCCTTAAGTGATCTCATCCCATTTTTATACTCATACAATGAAACCCTTACATGCTTAGCCCAGTTCTTTCTGTGGTTTGTCTCCACATGCACATTGCTTATGTTCCTCAGGCAACACATTCAAAATATGCAGAGCTGACCTCATCACCACATCCACTTAAGTATTACTTCGATTTCTCTCTGGAGAATCAATAATCAACATTACTACAAAGCTAGTGGCCTGTAAGAGTGACACTCTCCTGCCCCTAACTAACCAACACCAACCACTCTCCCCTGCCCCTAACCAACACACCTGCTTTTGAAATCCAGGCTACCCTCAAATTCCCTATGTAGTGTAGGCTGCACTCAACTGCAGTCCTTCTGTCTACCGAGTGCTGAGATCATAGGCAGGTGCTACCATACCCAGCTTCACCCTCCTTTCCCTCAACCTCAGGAGCAGTGTCAGGAACTTCTAATTTTGCATCTTAAGTATTTCTGGAGTTTATTGCTTTGTCTAGATATCCCCTTAGCAGCTCAAATTCAAAATATTCAAAGCTTAACTCATTACTTTCTCTTGTCAAACATCTTTCTCTTTCTCTGCTCTATGGGACGTTATCCCTCCAATCAGCTGCCAAATCTCAAGCTTGGGTGTCATCCTTGATTCTCCCATTCCTTCATCTCTTATAACCAAGTGATCACAAATTCCTGGTATTTGGCTTCCCATTTGCCTCTTCAATCTACCCAGTTCTCGTCATTTTCATTGCTATTATCTTTAACTTTCTTTAGTTTTAATCAGTTTCCTGCCTTTTATCGTCACTCCCTTTGACATGTCCACAATGCAGCCAAATCTGATGTCAGCAATTTTTCATCTCCACCCCTTCCCATGTAAAAGACTGCAAAATCTGGGTAAGTTGTAATCCATTTACCCTTGTCTCCCTGTACCTGGCACAATACACTTGTCACACGCAGATGCTCAGTAATCCCTGTGCTCACCCGCTCTGTGATTGCAGGTTATTTACTGCAGATCAATCTGTGACATGTTGTAGCGGCAACAGACCTCCGGCGGCAGCGGGCAGCTCGCTGCTGCCCTGCTCGGAAAGCTTTTCACTAAGTGCACGTAACAGAACCAATGAGTTATGGAGTCCGTACATGAAAGGGTTTACAACCCAATGATGTCCGTAACACTAAGGCTTCCGTCACGGCTACCGGCAAACACATAGCTCGCCTTCCTAGACCTGGGTTTGCGGAGCAGTGGAAGGAGCAGCGCGCGAGAGAGGCAGATGCTAGAAACCCCAGGACAGCCAGGAGAAATAATGGCCTTACCTAAGATTGGCGTGCGCGTGCGCGTGCGGGGCGGGGCGGCGACGCGCGCGGCCTTCCCGGAGGCCCTGGGGTGGCTGAAGCGGGCGGGTTCCCGCGGCTTGGTTCAGCCATTGGCGGGCGGTTTGAATGACGGAAGTGACGAGAGCGTGGCGATGGCCGCCCCGCAGGCGCCCAAACGGCTCTTGGGACGCTGAGCGTCGGGCACTGCGAGGGTCGCGGGGAGCTGCCTCCTGTGGACTTCGGACTTCGCGCTCCTGGGGCTCAGGTGAGAGAGCGCCGCTGCCCCCCAACCCCGCCGGGCGTGCACGACCCCCGGGGCCCGGGCTGCTCAGGCCTCGGCGGGCCGCGGGCGTGCGCGGCGCGCGAGGAGGCTCGGCCGCTCCTTGGTGCGCGGCCTGCGGCCCTCCGCGCGCACGGCGTGGCGCGCCTCCCGGGGGGGGCGGGGGGCGGGCGCGCGGGCTTCCCGCGGCGCGTGGCCGGGGGTGGGGATCGGGGTCCCGGCTGCCACCCTGAAGTCCTCTCTCACAGCCGCACTATCAGCTTTCTCACTGGGAACGCGTGTGAAAGCGTCGCGCAGTCCCGTGTATCCTGTTGTGGTGGCATTGCTCCGCTGCGCAGCTTAAGAAAACCAAAATGACTAAGTGACCCAGCTAGTGTCTCCCTGCCGATGGGCGGCAGTGTTGGGTCTTTACCCCGCATCCTCTAAGTCTGGTGTTAATGTTAAGTCCTCAGGATGAAATCTTGCCAGATCAGTGGTATCGTCTCTGATACTAAGAAAACAACTTAAAGATCCGTATTTGGGAATAATTAATTTAGTAAGTAAATGGGGCCGCAGGGAAAACTTAAGGAAGTAGGGATACCTGTAGTAGCAATTGATAGGTACAGAAGACATAACAGGAATAGAAAATAACATTGATGAACACCCCTGTAATTAAGTCGACAGTCCTCAGTGGGTACTGAGTGTAATGTGTGCAAAAATGTAATGCGAGGCATGACATTTGGATGTAGCCTGTACTCCCTGTCCGTTGAATACTTACAAAGGAGATAGTGATGAGAGTAGACAAACCTGCTAGACACTGCCTTATCACCATTCGTAAGACATACCAACATCATTTGCCTCCTGACTTGATGCACTGGGAAAGGTGCATCACCACTTCTGTGCAGTTTTGTTTTTGGTGGGCGTAACTGGGGTTTGAACTCAGATCCTCACACTTGCTAGGCAGCCCACCACTTGAGCCATACTTCCAGCCCTTGTTGTTTTACTCATTTTTCAGATAGAGTCTCACATTTTTGTCCAGGGCCGGCCTTAGATCTGTCCTCCTATGTATGCCTCTTGATCCTACACAGTGGGAGTGACCACCATACCTAGTTTATTGTTTGAAATGAGGTCTCTAACTTTTTGCCAGACTGACCTCAAACCACGGTCTTCCTGAAGTCTGCTTCCCAAGTGCCTGGGATTACTGGTGTAAGTAATCCACTGCACAGGGCTGACTAATTCATAATTCTTAACCTGAAATGTGTACTCTCAGCCTTGTCACAAGAAAAAATTAGACAAATTCAGATTGAGGAACACTGAACAAAGTAACTGGCCAGGTGTTTGTTGTTGTTGCTATTTTTTTTTTTTTTTAATGTCTGGGTTTTGAAGTGAAAGACTGAGGAAATGTCTCATATTAGGGGAGACCAACAATCTTGGCAGTCATGGGACTGTAACTCACAACTTTGGTTCTTGTATTCCAAAACCTTTTTGTGTGGAGGCAGCACATCCCATGGGCTGTTCCTAGCCAGTGTCAGTGACAGGGATGCTAAGGCAGGCTTGTTTTCAAGAAACTTCCCAAGGGTCTCTCTGAACCTTTCTTAGACAGCATCACTAAGAGGTACTCCTGTCTTTCCTTTACTCAGTGTCAGATTTGCTTTGATGTCCAGGGTGCTTTCAGCTTTTCTCAACCCCCCACCCCCTCCCATTTTCTCTCACACAGGCATTTCCCTTAATCCTGTGAGTTTAATCCAATTTGATGTTTGCTTCTTATAGGACCCAGAGTTAAGCAATAATGAAATGTCCAAGATTGGATACCAGAAAATAGACAGTAGTGGGATAATTGACATTTGGATAAGGTGCAGATTGTTTAAAAGTATTATGTGAGTGTTCTTTCCTGGTTATAAGTATGTAAGCTGTTAATATTTACAGAATGGGGGAGATGATATATGGAAATACTAAGCCTAAAGTTATTTTTAAATAAGTTAAAAAATTTTAATTATACACAAAACATCTTTCATATCTTAGGTGCTAAAAATAAGAAATGTCTTAGGTTCTAAAAATAAGAAATGTGCATACATTCTGTTATAATTCTTACAAATAAGATAATGGATACTCAAAACAACCTGAAAAGCAAGGTTTCTTTTTTTTGTTTTTCCTTTAGATTGAGATATAATTTAGAATAAAATACACAGATCTCATTGTACCATTTGAGGAATTTTACATATGCAAAGTGTTCACTTATCTCAGATAAAATCACGGAGTGTATTAACTATCTAAGTAGAACTATTCTAATGTGGATTTTTTGGAAATGGTGATAATGGGAACAAATTGATATCAGGATTACTTTGGAAAGGTTTTCAAATTATACAAATCATAGATTCACATTTTTTCCATTTCTTCCCACCGCCTTCCTCCAGAGAGAGGGGGTAGTAAAATCTAGGAGAGAGAGGGCTGGCCTAAATATGCCTGTAATCCTAGCTACTAGGGAGATGGTGATCAGGAGAATCGAGGTTCACAGCTAACCTGGGCAAAAAGTTTGTGAGATTCTCATCTCAACCAATAAAAGCTGGGCATAGTAGCACATGCCTGCCAACCTAGCTATATATGGGAAGCATAGATAGGAGACTCAAAGTCTAGGTTAGACCTTATCCCAAAAGTAACTAAAGCAAAACCAGTGTTGGGTGTGGCACTGAGTTCAAACTCCAGGACCATCAAAAGAAAAATCTAAGGATGAGAGCATCTGAGAATAAAAGTAGTGATAGAATAGATAAGGAAATCTAAACACTTCATGGGTCCAAACAGAATGATTGTAACACAGGCTCTAATATCATTGATTTTTAAAAATCACACCATTGTAATTATTGAAGAATCTTTTACTATAGAGTAAGTCATGGCATTGATGTGATTACATGAGATACAATGATGCTTGTGATCAAATTACATCTATCTAGACCCAGGAGCTGAGTCTAGCAGCCAGGAGCCCCTAAAATTACCTTACTCTTGTTGGTCATCACAGGTTGTCAGTGGTAAGAGAACATTTTTCTGTGTTAACACATCTCTTTAAGTCTTTTTGCGTTTTTCCATTTTAGCTAAGTAAACTTTGGAAATGCCAGTCAGGAATAAGACAGGTCCAGATACTCTAAGTACAGTGCGCTATAGATGGGGAAGCACTTTACTGAGCAGTTCCCACCTATCTGAGAACCTGAGATCTGAAGACTGGATTGATAAATGCCATTTGTAAATAAGCTGGCTTTTTACTATTCACCCACATTTATTGTGTATTTATAGTAAAAGAATATTAATTTTAAAATAATTTAAACTTCTGTTGTCCTATTTCAATAATATATCTCTTTACTGATATTTTTCTTTTTTAAAAAATTTAGATCCATTTTATTTAAAGTACACAGAAATGAAAAGAAAGATAGTGAATGCTGGCAAGCTAAGATTGAGTCCTAACGAGGAAGCCTGCATTTTGAAGGAAGATTATGAAAGAAGACGAAAACTAAGATTGCTACAGGTATGATTTATTTGGAATGAAGCTTTAAGCTCTTTGTCTTCCTCAAATAATTTTCTTTTTTACATTAGAGTATTCTAAACGAAATGTTGTATTTAAAAGCTGTGTAAAGCCAGGTGCGGGGGAGCCTCATGCCTGTAATCTGAGCCAATTGGGAGGAAGAGAACAGAAGGATTATGGTTTGAAGCCCAACCTGGGCAAATAGTGTTCAAGACCCTATGTTGAAAATACCCAATACAAAAAATTAGAGCTGGCAAGGGGCTCAGATGGTAGAGTGCCTGCCTGCCTAGCAAGCAGGAGTCCCTGAGTTCAAACCCTTAAAAAAAAAAAACTGTATAGAGTCCTGGTTCTTGTGTATTAACCAGGTTTGGAACATTTCAAAAGATAGGTTGATGTGGTAGGTACACCGAAGAAGAGTTGGGGGACAGGTATCATTTGACTCAATAAATATTGGAAATAGTTTTTTACATAGTTTTAAATGATCTGAAGTCAGCAAAGATAAGAACAGAAAGCTTAAAATAACTTTAAAGAAGGTATTTAAGAAGCATTTATTGGGAAGTTACAGGTTATTATCCTGCAGTGTAGAATAGTTAAATCTTCATGAAGCATGTTTTAAGTGTTATTCTGTCTAGAATCAGAGATGGTGTACCTCAGAAATGAAGTTCTTGTCTGATTCTAGCTGTACTCTGAGCTGTGAATTTTGTCAAATCATGTTTACTATTCTAGCCTTTTATAGGTTATTGGGTTAAGCCTCCTTCATAATACATGAAATATTCATCCTTCAGGTTCGAGAACAAGAAAGAGACATTGCTTTGCAAATAAGAGAAGACATAAAACAGAGAAGAAATCAACAATTTACTCGTTTGGCAGACAAGCTAAGGGCAGAATGGGAAAACTCACACACTCAGAAAATACAAAAGTTGGAAAAACTGTACTTGGGAAGTTTAAGAAATATGGGAGAAGGACATCGACAAGCCAAAGAAAATGTGAGTGAGCCTCTTTGACTACCTGATTTTAGCAGTAATATGATTTCAAGATAAATTGCATTTGTTGAATGCTCAAGATAAGAATATTTTTGTGTATCAAATTTGTTTTGGGCAGCCTGAGACTTCTTTATTAATTTAATATAATTTGAAAATAATAATATGTTCATTTCTTAGAAAATCATGTTAAGTAAAATCCATGTCAAGTAAAATATTTCTTCCTATGATTAAATTAGCCTTATTCCCTTCCAGTTCTTATCTATCTGTATAACCTTTTGAAGTAGAAGTTGTTCATATTAAGCATTTTGGACAGATTCAGGAGAGTAAATTTGGATTACCAATTTCAAATATGTATGGGTGAATATATATACACTTGGATTTCATTCACAAATAGTAAAAATTGCTTAGTGATATTTAGAAAGGCCAAGTAAAACTCAATATTTAAGACTGTTCACTGACTTTATTTTCATTTGTTTATTTGACTTCAGTTAGAAAATATTTTGGCTGATGGAGTGGCTCAAGTGATAGAATGCCTGCCTAGCAAGCTTGAAGCCCTGAGTTCAAACTCTAGTACTGCCAGGCGCTGGTGGCCCATGCCTGTAATCCTAGAAACTTGGGAGGCAAAGATCAGATTACAGTTCGAGGCAAATAGTTAGACCCTGTCTTGAAAATCCCCAACACAAAAAGACAACCCAGTACTGCCAAACCCCATTAACACCAAAAAGAAAAGAAGAAGAAGAAGAAAGAAAATTTATGGTCTCAGAGTCAATAATGCAATAAACAGGCTGGTTCCAAGATAGACAAATTTTTTATAGCAATTAGCGAAGAAAACAAATACAAATCTTTTTTAAATGTGGCAGCCTGTGTCTTTGCCCCTGGTTTTAATCTATGCTTTCAGTAATAGCCCTAAGTTCTGACATCAAATTTTTCTGGCTTTATGCATGCCACCTCTAACTTTGTGCTTTAGTGCAGTTTTTTTCCCCCCCAGACCTCAGTCATTTTAAGTTAATACTGTGTGTAGAACACAGGGCCTGGTGCTCATGCTTGCTAGGCAGGTGCTGTACCACTTGAGCCATGCCTCCAGTCCTGAACCTCAGTCATTTAAGTGGCATCTATATGATACTTCCCTAGCTGGGGAGCCATGCGTGTTACTATGTATTTGGCATTTTAATTTAAGTGGATTCTTTTATTAGTTAACTCTTGTCCTAAGTATTTACAATTATCTTTTATTTAGGTTTTTGTAGTAAGTTAAATGACTACATTAATTTTAACTTGTTTCTGTTTGTCCCTCCTGATATGGCATGTTGTGGTACCATTGCCATACTTTGCGAAATACTGTAGTAGTGTGGAGGGAGCAGTGACAAAATCGAAAAGTCACTTCTATTCTGATGCCAAATAGATGCATTTCTATTCATCTTGTTTCAGTAGCATTTTAAGTGGTGTTTACTTTTAGGAACCTGATTTGGATGCTCTGGCACTGCGGGCAGCAGAAAGGAAAAGAAAAGCAGAAGTGAGACATAAGGAAGCCCTGAAAGTACAAAAAATCAAAAGGAAATATTAATGAAACAGAAAACCTGGTAATAATTTTTGCCTTATTTCTACTGACAGTAAGAGAGCTGGAATAGAGGGCACACAGGATGCTGTGAACGCAGATATTAGATAAAAGTCATGTAGTATATCCATTGCATTTGTTAAAGCTGGTTTAAAAATAATGCAGTGGGTGAGTGGCTTACTTAGGTGAACATGCAAAGTGAGCTTCCTCTTCCAGTTGTGGTCTGAGCTTCTGTGATCAGTTCAGAGCACGTACCTCCTAATATCTGTTCCTGATGTAAAAGAAACATAAAATCTATGTGATTAAGAACACTAAATGAGGTTGTAGACTTTGAGGAAGTCTTTAGTATTTTATGCATGTTTTAAAAATTAGGAATCTGTTAGTGGTGTGCAGTGGTCATTCTATGCAATTGTCCATCTTTATCAACATTTCTGTGCTGTAACTGTTCTAATGAACAGTAGCTGTTTGTCGAGCGGGTCTCCTCCCTGGAGCTTTGTGTCTTTAGAGATGCCTCTTTCAGTGGTAAACATGCTACACATACTGACTTTATTAACAGCATACTGAGCTGGTGGATCAGACTGGAGACATCTTCAGTCAGTCAATGGCTTTTATGTTTTTAACTCTGAGAGACTAATTGATGACATCTCCTGTTTTTAAGGCATATACAAGCTCGAAAGGAAGCACTGCTTGTGGAAAAAGAGAGATCTGCAAAATAACAAGTCTGCCGCTGCCTCTTCCAGCTCCTTTTGAGGTGAATTGCTTTGAGTTTTGAAAAGCACTAGCATATAATAATTCTTTACTATTAAAATTTATTGGAGGTAAACATAATTATCATTTGTTTAAACTTAATCTGTGGTTGTATAAGTAACACATAAGTGTATCTGGTGTATTTAAAATAATCCTAGGTATTATTTCACCTTCAGTATGTACTTCTGATGTATAGACTTTTTAAAAATAAAACAAAAACAGCTGGGTGCCTGTGGCTCACACCTGTAATCCTAGCTATTCAGGAGGCAGAGTTCAGGAGGATCGTGGTTTGAAGCCAGCCTGGGCAAATAGTTCTTGAGACCCTATCTCGAAAATACCAACACAAAAAAAGTGCTGGCAGAATGGCTCAAGTGGTAGAATGCCTGTGTAGCAAGTGTGAAGTCTCAGTTCAATCCCAGTACCACCAAATAAATAGATAGATAGATAATTAAATAAAAACATAATATTCATAGTTTGCTCAGTTATTTAATGCCCAGTGTGTGTTCAGTTTTCCCCAGTGGGCTCAGTTTTTTTGCTTGTTTGAAAAACTTGTGGTTTTCGGCTTTTTTGTTAAGTTGTTGTGTTTTTTTTTTTTTTGGTGCTGGGTTTGAACTTGGACCTTGTGCTTGTTTGGCGAGTGTTCTGCCACTTGAGCCATGCCTCAGCCCTTTTAAGTATTTTTCAGGTGGCCTCAGACCTTGAGCCTCCTACTTACGCCTTCTGCATAGCTGGGACAGTGCGCACCACCATGTGTGACTTGTTTGTTGAGATGGGGTCTCTAAAAATCTGTGTCCCAGTGGGCCTCTAACCATGACCTCCTGACTTTAGACCTCCTGAGTAATTAATTTCGACATGTATCACACCTATGATTTTCCGTTTTTCTTTTTTTTTTTTGGTAGGGCTGGGGTTTGAACTCAGGCTTCATGCTGCAAAGTAGGCACTCTACCACTTGCACCATCCAGTCTGTTTTTTCTCTGATGATTTTAGGATGGGCTTTCTCAAAGTATTTGCCTGGACTGGTCTCATGATCCTCCTGATCTTAGTCTCCCAAGTAGCTAGGCATAGCCGCCACCAGTATGTGGCTTGGGGTTGGCTTTTTGAAGGCTATTAACATTGCTGTCCTTTATTTTTCATGTACTGTGATTTAAAAAAAACTGCATTCATTGGTAGGGCTGGGGTTTGAACTCAGGGCTTCATGCTTGCAAAGTAGGCACTCTACCACTTGCACCACACATCCAGTCTGTTTTTCTCTGATGATTTTAGGGATGGGCTTTCTCAAAGTATTTGCCTGGACTGGTCTCATGATCCTCCTGATCTTAGTCTCCCAAGTAGCTAGGCGTGAGCCACCAGTATGTGGCTTGGGTTGGCTTTTTGAAGGCTATTAACATTTCTGTCCTTTTATTTTCTCATGTACTGTGATTAAAAAAACTGCATTCATTTTCCTGCAGACTTTTCCACTATGGATTTCTTGCTCTGAAAATATAAATTATGGAGTGGTGGTTCACACTTGTAATCCTAGTACACGGAGAACACAGGATAGCATTTTGAGGCCAGCTGGGCCAAAGAGTTGTGAGACACCCCTTCTCCCATCTTGAACAATAAATACTGGGCATGGTGTGGCTTGCCTATCACCCTAGCTGGGATTGCAGTCCACCACTAATAGAAGAAAAAAAAAAAAAAGAAGATTTACGTTGCGAGTACTTTAAAAATCTGTCTCAAGATTATGAGGTAATGAGAGGGATTTATTTATAATGAGTAAAATGTGTGCTTTTGTGATTGAAACTCATTTTAAGAGAATTCTTAATAAAAATAGCAAATTAACTTTAAGAAGTATTGGAGCCCGGAGCGTTGGCATTAGCCTGTAATCCCAGCACTCAGGAGGCTGAGACAGGATTATGGCGAATTCAAGACCAGCTCCCATCTCCAAAAAAAAGTGTTGGTTTTCTTGTTCATATTTGGTTTTTGTGGTTATTGACATGGCTATTTATATGGTTGTCAAAATTGCAGTTATCTCAAAACTTAAGCAGAAGTAAAAGAATACCTTCACAAATACATGGATGTCTAATGTGGTTGTATATACAAGTATATTTTATGTGTGTCTAATTAGCATAAGTCCCAGATATTCTCTAGGTCTTCCACTTTGTCAGCCTTTCTGCTTTTGTGTTGAGCCATCTGCTGTGTTGCATTTGGTCCAACAAGGTTCAGATGGAGGAGTCCTATTTCAGCCATGCCCTCAGCGCCAGGCAGGATTATAAAAAGGCAGGCAGTGTTTTATTCATGATGCCTTTTGATTACCTTTGTCTTATTACTAATATTCATACATAACAAGCCAAGATTAAAAACGTACAAAAGAAAATAAGTGTGTAAGTGATTTGTAGGTATGAATTATATGCAGGTATGTTGTTGTCCTTTTTTCTTTCAACTTCTCATGAAAATTTTCAAAGTATAGGAAAGTTAAGAATATAGTAATTGGGCTGTTGGAGTAGCTCAAATGGTAGAGTACCTGCCTTGGGTTCAAACCCCAGTACCTCAAAAAAAAAAAAAAGAATACAACCAATGCCTGTTTGTATTGTGTGTAGACTTCAGTCAGATAACTGTATATATATGTGTACACATTTAATGTGAATGCAGAGGTACCGTTTCATCCTAAATACTTCAGCATGCTTCTTACAATAGGGGATTCTCTTACACAATCATAATACATTCATCACTCTAAGAAATTAGCATTAATACCTCAATTCCATTTAATTTCCATCCATAATCTAAACTCTGATTGTCCTGCCTTACAGCTTTTCCCTGTTTTTAAATGAGGCTGTGCTCTAGACTCTCACATTGCTTCTGTTTGGTTTATCTCTTTGGTTTATCTTAGACTAGAACATTTTCTTTGCAGTGCTAGCCAAATTCTCATTTTAGAATCTTTTTCCATTAGCATATGTTAATTGTATAAAATAATGGTTTTCATTAGTGTGCCTTAAATTGTACAAATTAGCGGGTTTCCTATTTCAGACTCTTTGAAGAGACTACACGAGTTTCTCACTTCTTCCCTTGTCTTGTTTTCATGTGAAATTGTGCGCTGCATTTTCATGACACTGAAAGTTAGGTTTAAAGGTTTGATTGTCTTTTGGCGATAATACTATACAGGTGAGGCTGAATAGGTTTATGCATCATCAGAAAGTACAGAATGGCCAGTTGCTCCCGTTTGATCACTAGTTATGGCTGCAGCTGTGAGAGCTCTCCATCAGAAAGTCATATGTTTCCCTTTCCAGTTACCAAGTAATTTGTGAGGTGATGCTTTGGTAACTGGCTAGGTATCTGTCATCCTTCTGCATTTATTAATTGGCCTACTTTTGTTTTAAAGAAGAAAGAGAGCTCTCTTTGGTCAGTAGAATGGAGTTCAGCTCTTTTAAGAAGACGGGCATATACTTTTTTCCCCTTAACCAACTTTTAGAGTAAAGGATCGGTGGAATAATCCAGTGATGGCAGTTTTTTTTTCTCTTTTGTGAATATCACTGTGGGCCTGTGGATTTTTATTTATTCAGTATTACATAGCCATTATAATAGTCATTATAATATTATAATAGTGATTATTCTTTTTCTTTCTGATGTTTTAGTGTCTGAAATTTTGTTAGTAGGAGACTTTCCAGGCTGGCTCTGTGTCCTCCTTCCTATTTGAGCACTTCTTTACTATGAACTTACTGGATCCCATTTCTGGTGTTTACAAAGAGTCCTGCTTCTTCTTAGAGGAGAAATGACACTTATAAACTAAGATCTGGGTTGTGTTCATATTTGACTTAAAAAACATTATTTTAGAAAGGAGTCCATTATCCATGCCTATAAAGGTGTTAGGGAAAGCAGTGTCTTCTGTATAATTTGAGTTGGATGTGAACATATGGTGTGGCAGGGAAGTAAAGGATTTTGGTCTAAGAAAGACTAAATTATAAAACATTTTAGGGACCAAGGAGGTGTACCCTATAAGTAGCTTACGTCATACAGTCAGGAGATCGGCATGTCTGTACCACTATTCCTCCAAGCTTATAAAAATATGAATGCTGAGAAACCTGGGGAAATGGATCTGAACTTTTTAGTCTTCACAAATAAAGAAAATCTTCAAGCAATCCCAGAAAATAACACTATTTTATAGACTAAAATCTTACGAGAGAACTGTTCCATGGTGGAGAGAGTGGGCACTAACTGTGTATTTATTATTTTAGTTGTATCTCGTTAAATCACCACAATAGCTGTGCATGGTAGAAATTATCCCATGTCACAGGTGAGGAAAATTGAAAATCAAGTGTTAACCTGATCACAGTCCTTAATGTGAGAGAACCAGAGTTTATCTGGTGTTTACAAGTGTTTTCTCATACATTATTGGATAGCTACAGTAGCTGTCTCAATGGCCATAAGTTATAGGGATTGCTGTGAACCTACTTTACTTGAGAAGACGAGGAACAGAGAGGTTACAGAACTCTGCTGTAGTCTAGTGCAGAAGGGACTCAGCTGAAGTGTCAGCATTCCTTCGTGAACATTGTTCTCATTGTGTTGTGTACAAAACGTCACTGATATAACTGATTATCAGAACCATTTGAGCTCCTTGAAGGCAGGGGCCATTATTTTACTTTTCAATACATTTACCATTTTAACACATAGTTGACACTTAAGAACTTCTTATTAGTTCACTTGATTTAGTTAGGTACTAGTACATAATAAACTGTTGTCGATGACCAAATGCACTCTTACAGGAAAGGGGAGAAGTAGTTTACTTCACCTTTTTTGAGAGTTGTTCTGTTCTGGAATTGGTGCTCTTAAGTATAGCTTAAATTGCATCATTAAACATTGAGAAGTGAAACCAATCTGAATTACAGTGGACTTTTTGTGATTAGACATGGAAAGGGTCCTGATAGTGTGGGCCTTTTTTTAAAAAAATTAATGTAGCGAGGTGCTTATAATTTGATTTGACATGTCCTATAAACACTTTTTTATTGGGAAGATTTAAAATTAAGTACTTGCTGGGCTTGGGAACTCTTGCCTGTAATTCTAGCTACTGGGGAGGATCACAATTTGAGGCCAGCCTGGGCAAAAAGTTATTGAGACCCCTTCTCAATCAGTAAGCTGGTCATAGTGGTGTGCATCTGTAGTCAAAGCTTCTTGGGAGGTAATAAGTAAGAGGATTGTTGTCTGAGGCTGGCCATGGGCAATGAAAGAGAGACTCTACAAGAAATATCTTAAGGCTGGAGATGTAGTTCAGTGGAAGAGCACCTGTTTAGCAAAGGACAAGGTTCTGGACTCAGTCATTTTTGCTAGGGGAGAAAACTAGCAAAACAAATTGTTTCTTTAAATAAAGTTGAAGTGAACTTCTGAAGTAAAAGATACCGATTGTATTAAAGATACCTAGAAGATGTTTTAAAGTACTAGAGATCTGATACTTTCATTAAAATTTGAAATAACTTAACTGTGGAAAAAGAGATGTCTTTTACTGTGAGCAGACTTTTCACTTACTTGAATGAGGTTAACTTACTGTCTTAATCCATATTCTGCTGCTAATGATGCAATGCCACTGACTAGGTAAATAATAAAGAGAAGAGACATTGTGGTTCAGGTTTTGAGGGGCTGCATTTGGTGATGGCTTTCTGGCCGGCAGAGTTCCAGGTTGTTGGAGGACTAACATGGCCATAAACAAGAAGTGTGCCAAACTGCCTTGTATTGTGGACTCATTCTGGGGTAACTCACTGACCTCACTCATGAGAGGAGACCCCTGATCACCTCCCAGCGGCCACCAACTCTACTTCTTAATATATCCTAATGAGGACCTACTAAGCACTGATTAAAATACTTTTTTTTTTCCATTGGATCCAACTTTAAGTAACAATGCTTTTAACCTAAGCATCTATTTTTTTATGTTCCATTTTTCCAGAACATTGAAGTGAAAAGAATTTCTTCAGTGAAAACCAATAGCTCTACTTACCATCATATTTCTACTTTTGTGAACAGACAGATGGACACAAAGCAGGTGATTGACTTACTGTTTCTTCATACCTTCACTTTATTACTTCTTTGTCACTGAATTGATTCTGTGTCTGTTGTTGCCAAATTTTAAAATCTGAACAGTCCCACTAACCATCCTAGGTTGACAAGTATAAAAAACCTCTTTAAATATGCTTTGTCTTTTCATGTTAGGTGTGTTATGGTCTTATATAAATAGAAGAAAGCAGATGATTATTTAGATTGATATCTATTAAAATAGATTTTCTTACCATGCATTAATTGTACAAAATAATGGCTTTCATTATGGCATAAAAGAGATTTTAAAACTTTATCAAAATAATACGTGGTCTTTGTGAAAGTTTTTCCACAAACACATAAACATAAGCTAGGAAAAGTACCAATGTTTCCATCACCAAAGAGCAATTATGGTTAATATCTTAATGAATTAGAGTTTGTCTTCATACACAAACATGTACACATACTTTTCAAAACATGATTTTTAACAGATGCATAATATTTCATCATTCTAATTGTCTTTTTGCTTCTTTAAATACTCTAAATGTAATAGTCTTGTACATTTATATCTGCATCTAGTTGTATGTTAAGAGTAGGTTCCTAGATGAGAAATCTGTGGTTCTAAACTGTAACATTTGATACAGATCAAAAGATTGCCTTTTAAAAAGTATCAGCAATACATGAGAATGGCTGCATAGAATTACGGATTAAAAATTGTTGCCATCTTCAAAGTGACAAATGATATATTCTTATTATAATTGCTATGTCTTTGTAAACAGTGGATCTGAATATTTTTCATGTTGTATATATTTGGCTACTAGAAAAGTAACTTATCAGCATAGCATTTGCATTTAGAAAGCAATAAATAGGGGTGAGGGTCATTGCTCAAGTGTTAGAGCACTTGCCAGAGTGCAACAATTACATATTTTGGTTGACTGATAATAGCAGTTAATACTTAAGATGAGTACCATCATCATAGAATGAGCTTATAAGGCTCAAGACTAATCTGAGATTTATTTAAAATTGTACAATATTATTATGATTTCAATATCATTATAGTACAAGAAAAACCTGTTTTGGGTAGTGTATTTTTGCAATATTAGATAGATGCTGCCTTTTAGCTGATACTAATGAAGAAAGACTTTTCCCCCATCTCCGTCAGTATAGGTTACTGCTGCTATTGCATTTGTCTTTAATCTTTTCTTTTGATAGCAGCTAGAAGACCTTTGTCCTTCAGTCTTTGGATCAGTAGTTGTAAAGTAGTCCCACAAATGAGAGCTTCATGCAGTCATGAAGGAAGTTGCTTTCTGAATATTCTCAAGAACACATATATGATTTTACAAAGTTTATCCTGGTATTTTACTTGTTGCTTTACACAATCACTTAGGTAAAAAAAATCTATCCTTAAACCTTGAATTTAAAATGTGACAACAGGCAATATGCTGACTTCCAAGATAAAATTATCTTTGAACTTTAATATGTATCTCAGCTTATGTCACAATAATTTTGCATCTTCCCGGGAGTAGAATTTTATGATCTTATAGCAAGTGTAATATAAAAATAATTTCATTCTTGGCTTGCATGTTTGGATAGATTGTAAATGAACTACTTTGGCTTGTTTAGCCTTCTCAGCATGTAAGAGTTGATATTGTGGCTTTGAGGCTTTTTGAATATACTGTGAAAGAAATTCCAAGATCTCTTGCCTGTCAATACATTTGTCTTTGCTAAAGAAGGACAGTGAAAGCGGCCTGCTGTCAATACATTTGTCTTTGCTAAAGAAGGACAGTGAAAGCGACCGTCACTTCCGTTTGTGCACTGCAGAATACAACTCATGCACTTTGTCAGAGCATGTTTTCAAAAAAATTCTTTTGTTGGGGGAAGTGTTAAGTTACTAGGGCTTGAACTCAGGGCCTGTGCTTGTTAGGCGGGTGCTCTACCACTTGCGCCATGCCTCCAGCCTTTTTTGCTTTCGTTATTTTTCAGATGGGGTCTTGTATTTTGAACCTTGATCCTCCTACCTACATCTCCCACAAAGTTAGTTTTACTAACTTTTTACTGAGGCTGACCTTGAATGGTGATGCTCCTTGTCTCTGCCTCTTGAGTATCTGGAATTACAGGCATGAGCCACTGCACCTGGCCCCTAACATACTCTTTTTGACTGACATTCATAGTTTTTGCAAATTTCACATCTTTCACCTTCAACTATTAAAAATGAAATTTTCATTATTTCAACCAGATTTTTGTTTAAATTTTAATTATATTAGCACAAGTTCTACAAGAGTTTTTCTCCATAAAGCATTCTTGTAAAATCTTGTTTTCAAATTTGTAACTGAGAACAAACTTTGTTTACAGATCTTGATTTCTTTTTTTTTTCCCCCTTGTGGTGCTGTTGATCAAACCTAGAGCCTTGTGAGTGCTAGGCAAGTCTCTTTCCTGAGCAACTCCAGCCCCTCTATTTTGTAATGCTTTATTTTCTTCATATTCTTATATACTTTATTATCTCCAAATTGGACATACTTATCCATTTTGTATGCTATTTCAAAGTTTATCCTCTTAAATTTTTGGTTTATCAAATTGATACTCTGCTTTCAATGAATTCTTAAGAGAGGTGAAGAATTCCTTAAAAACTTTTTTCTTGAAAACTTCATGGACTGAGTGGAATGAAATATTGTTCTTAAAGGTTATTTGTTTAATGTTATGCATGTTAATACACTAATTCTATGGAGATTATAATTTTATTTACTCTAACCTTTTTCTGTTTGCCTAGTGTTACTTAGATTTGCATAAATATTTATTGGCTCAAAACAGAATATTTTTAATAAATCTATTTGTCTAGTGCACTCTTATCAGCCATCAGTCTCTTTACCTAATCTATCTCACTATTTGAGTTTTAATTTTATATACAGTGTTCATAGCTTTTGTGGTCATTTCTTATTGTTTCAGTTGACTCATAGAATTTCAGCATACAGCGTATGAAAAAACTTCCACTCGTAGTTACATTTAAAATGTTGCCTATATTTGAAAGTAAATGTTTAGGTAATGAGAAAAAATCCTGGTTATATTATTGTCATGTTAAGAGGTGAAGACTTGCATAAAGGCGTGGTCATTGGTTATGCATAAGTCTAGAAACTACCATTTCTGTTAAAGTAGGTGTTCTGGTGCTTCTCAGGTGAAGACACGCAGCCGGCGTTGGCTAGAAACCAAAATCAAATCTGCGCGCTCTAAATTACTTACACAGCCTTAGATGGTTGTGGGTGTTTACCTACAGTATTGTCATTTTACTGGTGTTTCTTTACTTTAAAAGTATGGAAGGTTGGGTGCTGGTAGCCCACACTTGTAATCCTAGCTACTCAGTTGGCAGTGATCAGGAGGATCATGGTTCAAAGCCAGCCCAGGCAAATTGTTCTCCAGACTCTTATCTTAAAAATAGCCAACACACAAAAAAAGGGCTGGCTGAGTGGCTCAAGTGGTAAAGAGCCTACCTAATAAGCATAAGGCCCTGAGTTCAAACCCCAGTACCACAAAAAAAAAAAAAAAAAAAACATGGGGGAATGTATTTGGATGAACAAAGCCTAATCTAGTTTGAAGTGAATTTATAAGACTTTATACTAGCAATTTGATCCTTTGTATGTGTATAAGCTGATGATAATTGTGGGCATTTATTAATAGAATGCTTATTTTTTTAATTTTAAATGAATAGAAAGCACGCTTTTAAAGTTTTGTTTTTCAGTTAATTTTTTTGTTTCACACTTTAAAAAAAAATTATCTAAAATGTTATTGACTGCTAGCCAGATGCTCATTTGGCTGCTGAAGAAGAAGCTAAACGATTAGAAGAACTACAAAAACAGGCAGCACGGGAGAGAATGGAGCAGTTTGAAAAGGCACATGAACGGGGTTTCCAAGCAATGAAAAAGATCCATTTGGCCCACGTAAGAACTTCTGTGACTGTTTCTGATGGCATTACAGAAGTGGGTGGTGCTGGGCTCAAAGCAAGGGGGTGTGAAGGGTGTTACATACGCTCTCTGACTCATGTGACTCAGGTTTAGTTAGGTTAAGTTATTCTCACAGTGTATCACTAAATCTAAAAATTTTCCTGGTTTTTAAGTTTATTTAATCCAGAAAGAGCCTGAGAAGATTAATCCCTTTTCTAATGTAATTATTTGGGCTTCATTTGTGCTCTGTAATTTTGAGGATTAGATTCATTGCATATCTATTGAGCAAAGCAGACTATTGATTCAAAGGTAAAGTGATGATCCTTGCTATCATGGAGCTTTGAGAAAGTATTGTCAACCTAAAAATATGGATAGTTTTAGCCTTACTTTGTCCTGCTGATTGTTCAGTCAGTAAGCATTGTAACAGCATAAAACAATTCATCTTGTTGGAAGTGTACTTTTATTTTCTCAATTTGCTAATGCATTTGGGAATTTTAAACACCCACCTTAGTAAGGAGTCTTTAAGTACTTCTATGGAAATTAAACTCTTATCTCATAAAAGTTTATTTATACTATTTGAACTAAATTAAGACCGTTTCCCTTGGCTTCTATAAATTGGAAGTAAATTTGTGACAAAAATAACTGAATGTCTAAATTACTAGTCATTCTCCTCATCTAAGGCTAACACCTATAGAAAAAATACACATGAGAGAAAAAAATCATAAAATAAACCCATTCATCATAAAAACAGCAGTATTGAGTGTTTAAGATGTAGGCTCTAGCTTGCATGGATTTGCCTCTCTTCATTACTTGCTGTTTGATCTCAGATAAGTGACTTAGCCTTTGTGAGCAATGTTTCATCATTGTTTGATGAGGATTAACTGAGTTTCATAAAGCCTTTAGAAATGTGTGTAGAATTTCACAAGTTCACAGTGAATGTTAGTGGTACTAGTCATGGTTACCACAAGTAATACTGGCAGAGTACCACACCATAGTTCCCACGAGCCAGAAGAGTATGCAGGCTCTTCTACCTTCTTACAGAATTAATGCTCCTTACATAAGAGTTATCCAGAACTGTAATCTCAGTGCTAATAGACGGTCTCCCTTTCCTATGTGAGCTATGTTGCCGTAGACCTTGTTGTGGTCTGGCACTTGTTTCCTGCTGGGTCTGCTGTGACTAGTGGGTGGCCTCTATCTGCCTCTCCAGTTACGTATTTCTCTTTAATCCCCTTGCCCTCCATGCTCTAGCCCTTGCTCTAGTGTGTGCTTTGAGCATCACATGCCTTCATCTCCACACCTTGTGCACCGTTGTTTTCTTGTTATTTCAACTACTCTTATACCCACTTTATCCAACTAAATTCTCATCCCATCACTGAGCAGTTTCCCTTGCTCTTCTTTACCCTTCACCACCAAAATTCGGTTAGATAACTCACTAAAACTCTGCTTAAACTTTCATATTAGGCATACTCTAAGCTTAAAGAGATAGACAGGTCCCTTTTAATTATGAGAGTCACAATAGTGACTCTCAGTTAACCCACAGTCACTCTGATCTCAGTGCTTACCTGATACATATATATCAGGAGCCATGGAAACTCAAATAGAAAGTAACTTCATGACTTCCCTCAGAAGTCAGACACTTTTGTAACTTTATTGCCTAACCAGTACCATTCTCTTTTGCTACTAACATAATGCTACTTCTTTGTTGGTCTCATAATTAGGTTAGGGTTGAGATTTTTTTTCCCCGAGAATTTATTGCAGTATCTGGTATTCAGCAAATGTTTGTTGAGTGGATAAATTAATTAAATGTAATGTGTTTTGGTGCAGAACAAATGGGAGGGCAGGGGAAGGAAGCCTAAGCCCTGCTCCTCATGGTCTCCCCACTTTCCCTCCCTGGTTAGTGATACTAGCCAAAGTTTGATTCCTCTGTCATTAATCTCTATTCTTGAAGAATCAAGAGAAGCTAATGAAAGAACTCAAACAGCTGCAACAAGAGGACCTGGCACGTAAAAGACAGACTGTAGCACAAATGCCACCACAGCTAGTTGAACTTCCATACAAACGAAGTGAAATAAAAGATGACTGGCAGAGAGAGCTGGAATTTGCCTTTGAAGATATGTACAATGCAGACAGAAGTAAGATATTTTCCATAGATTTTCAGCAGTGCTTTTAAATGTTTTAATGGGAAAATATATTTGTAATGATGAAGCAGTTTTTCTTTTTGAATAAGCTCTCAGTTTGAAAGAGACCCTCATATTTAAATGTTCAAATTATAATAGCCTTCAGATTTTTATGAATGATCAAACTCTTTAATCATGTTGAGATAGAAACATGTCTTTATATTTCTTTTTTAAGAGGTGAAAGGAAATCTGATTTTGCACCTTGAACCAGAGCCTTTGCCCACTGTGACTGACCAGATCCAAGATGAAGACCTGGACCTTTCAATGGAACAAGAAAATAAAGGTAAACCTGAGGACCTTCAAGTGACAGATTCTGAAGTAATCTGTCCTGATGAAACAGTAAAAAGCTCCTTCAAAGCTGAATATTACAGTATTTCACAGAAAAACAAATGTTGATCATCAGTCAGCAGGAAAATCTATTCTAGTTTAAGTACAAACAGTGACTGATACAAATGGGAACGGTGACAGGAAGAAAGGACATTTTTATACACACAGGAGAGGAGCTATTGTACTCATATGTACATGAAGTATGCAAAGTATTAGGTTAAGTTAGATACTTAATTATGAATTCATTTGAAGGGTTGGCATTTTTAGAACAGAAACCCTATTGTGTTTAATTTACTGCTGGGTTCTTTCTGTATAGTGTTGCATAACGCAAACTTTGGTCTCCTGATATTCATGTCTGACTCTGGCATCCTGAACTTTTCCACTCAGCTGTCCTGTAAGTACTTAAAACTCAGCGTCCGGCCATACATTTATCATCATTTCTTGCTTACTGAAACTTCTTCCTGTCTTCCTTATCTTAGTGAATAATGGCACCACAGTCTGTGGTTACCCAAGCCAGACACTTGCCTTCCTCACCTTAAAGACCAAGTCCCCTTCATTGAATTGACCTCTGTATATTCCCCCACCACCACGTGTCTATGGGTACTGCCTTTACTAAAACCACTCAGACTTCGTATCATCTGCACGGGACATTGTGAATGTAGCCCTGTAGGGTTCCAACTTTAAGTCTTGTATTAGAATCCTCAAGTAGGGGCTCTAAGCTTTATCTGCCTTTTGCTATGCCCCCAGTGCTGTCCAAACAAGTATAGGTTACTGTGTTTTGAGTTTTACATAGACTCACTTTAAGATGGTTTCTGTGCTCACTCGCCTTTCTTCCAGGGTTCCCACTTAAACTTAATTTATGCCTTCTGCAGAGTCTTAATTTCTTGCTAGATCAGTAGTGTCTTTAAGAAGATATTTTCACCATTCATCATCTTTGTTTGTTTCTTTCATGGGAGTATCATGCAGATCTCTGTAGTTTGTCAGAATTGTAGGTCTGGCATAACCTAAGGGAGAATGGTTGTTCTTCACCTCCTGCTTGATCCCACATAGGATTGCTGACTTATTGTCTGCCAGTATCTTTCAAAGTTGGGAAACTTTTCAAAGTTGGGAAACTAGACATTGTAGCACACATCCATAGTCCTAGCTACTCAGAAGGATGAGGCAGTAGGATTGTTTGAGCCCAAGAGTTCAGGGCTAGCCTGGGGAACTTGGTGAGATACATTCTCTTTAAAAGAAAAAACAAAAAACAAAAAAACCTCTAAGAATCCTGTTGTTTACTAAATCCTTATTTTAAAATATTCACAGCTAAAGGCTGGGGATGTTATTCTGGTGGTAGAGCTCTTGTATAGTATGTGTGAGGCCCTGGGTTTAATCTCCAGTACTGAGAAAAAATATATTGGTAACTAATCTATTTCTTAAAAATGAGTGAGTCACAAACCAACGGTGATTGAAAGAAGCAGGCAGAAATTATTACCTACATGTATGATTGTGAGTTTATGTGAAGTTAAAACACAAAACAACAAGTAAGACTAAGGTTATCTTTAGAGTGTATTGATTGGGAAGAAGCAGAAAGAACCTTCAAGGTGCTGAAGTGTTCCACATAAGTGTCTGGATGATGGTGGGGGCAGTCTAACCAATGTTCAGTAATATGGCTACTTGGAATTGGCTTAATGAATTCCCTCCTATACGATGAATATATGCTAATGAAAATGAAAACCAAGAAAACAAAAAGATCTGGATAATGTTACATAGATGTAACTATAAAACTCTGTATTGTGCATTCTTTTTAAGTTAGAATTTTTTTTTTTATTTTTATTTTTTTTTTGTGATACTAGGGTTTGAACTCAGGGCCTCACACTTGCTAGGCAGCCCCTCTACCACTTGAGCCACTCTGCCAGCCTTTTTTTTTTGTATTGGGTATCTTTGAGATAGGGTCTCTCTCAAGAACTATGTGGCTGGGCTGGCCTTGAACCACGATCCTCCTGAGTAGCAAGGATTATAGGTGTGAGCCACTGGTACCCAGATAGAGTTTTTGTTTTGTTTTTTAATGTGGGTAAGGAACTATAGTTTGCCAGTTTTCAACCTTCAAAGAGATTCTTAAATTTTATTCCTTATTTAGCCAGAGCATATATTTACATCACAGCTCTGTTGTCATAGAGAATTATTAGTTCTCTGACTGGGGACATGGCTCATGTGGTAGAGTGCCTACCTAGCAAGCAAGTGTGAGACCCTGAGTTCAAACCTCAGTACCATAAAAAAAAGAAAAAAAAAGGGAATTATTAGTACTGTCAGCCTGTATGAAAGAATGCTTGAAGAAATACCTTGTTTCGGGTTTTTTTTGTGTATGTGTTGGATAACTGAGGGTCTCTTTTATGAGAGTAGGTGGGAGAATGACATGGGCGTAACCAGTTTGCCACAGAGCCACATTTGGGACTATTCTCTAGCAGAGAGAAACTCACAGTGCATGTTTTAAATACTGACTTTAGCCAGAAGTTAATCAGGGATTATGCACTATGTCATTTAGTGAGCAGAACAAGTGTCCTCCTGAGAAGTGTCTAAACTTCAAGTTCATGTCACGTGCATATTGTTAGAAAACAGTCACATGTTGGCAGCTTTCCTATTTGAGTTGAGAAATTTTCTGGTTTATAAAATTAATGTGTGGCAATACTGCTAAATTATAAATGTTAAGGAAAACAAAGTTGTGCTTTTGTTTTTAACTAAGTGATTGTAACAATAACTGAGTATAAAGATGAGTAATTTGCCTGGCATATATCACAGGTATTAAGTTTTTTTTCTGTTTTCTTTTTTTTAGACCCCTTGGCTATGAACACTCAGCATATCACTTCAAAAATTCTTTTTAAAAAATTATTAAATAAGATTCGAAGCCAAAAATCTCTCTGGACTATTAAATCCATGTCTGAAGATGAAGGTGAAATGACAACTGTTAGTGAGACTGGAAGTAAAGCAGCAGGAGCAGTTGGCAGCAAGGAAAGAACATTATCTTCTGAGCAACAAGGTGGCTCCATCCGCTTGTCTGTTTTATAGCTCACAGCTCTTTAAATTGTTCAAAACTATGCACATACCTGAGAAATCAAGAGTAGAGTCAAAAGTTTTAAAACATAATCCTGCTACTTAAAGGCAACAAACAAATGTTGAAAACCTTAGTGCTCCTAGACCACTTTCTATGTAGTAGTAATTCATATATACGTTAATTCTAGTGAAATCAAACTGAAATTAACCAGTAGCCTGTTGCTGTGGCATTTAAGTTGTTTCTATTCTTGGTTTGGTGTTGTTTTTGCTTTGTTTTGTTGGTTTAGTATCAGTATTTCCTGCTTTTTTGGTTTTTTTGGCAAAGCAAGCACTCTTACCACTTGAGCCACACCTCCAGCCCTGGTTTAGTATTTCTACGTCTTTGCCCAGATCTCTTTTTTTCCCCCCACATTTTTATGTCACAGTCCAACTCCCCCTACCCCCAACACACACCAAGTCCCCAGTGGTCCGAGGTTTGAATTCAGAGCCTCACGCTTGCTAGGGAGACACTCACTTGAGCCAACATGCCCCAGTCTCCACTTGTCAGTTCTTGCTCTTGTTTCATAAACTATTGGAGTCCTATTCAGAAAGTCATCAGGTGTTTTCCCTTATAAGGTTCAGATTTTCAGGTCTTACATCAAGGTGTTTAATCCATTTAAACTGATTTTTTTTTTTTTTTATATAGGGTGAGAGATAGGTAGGGTCTAGTTTCAGTCTTCTACATGTGGTTTTTTTTTTTTTTTCTTTTTTGGCAGCCTTGGGGTTTGAACTCAGGGCCTCATGCTTGCTAGGCAGGCACTCTACCACTTGAGCCACTCCATCCATGCCCAGTCTTCTACATGTGGGTATCCAGTTTGCCCAACACCATTTTTCAAAGAAACTGTCTTTTTTTCCAATGCATGTTTTGGCACCTTTGTCATATCAGGTGGTTGTAGCTATGTGGGCTTATTTCTAGGTCTTCTATTACTCTTTTTTTTCCCCATTGGTACTACTGGAGTTTGAACCCAGGGCTTTGAACTTGGCACTCTACCTCTTCAGCTGGGCCTCTAACCTCTATTATTGTTTGGGTTCTTTATTTTGCTTTTTGAGACAGTCTCACTATGTAGCCCAAACTGGCCTTGAATTCATTATCCTCCTGCCTCAGCCTCCCAACTGATGAGATTCTAAATGTGTGCCACCATACCTGGATCTTTTATTTGGGGGAGGGGAGGTGGTACTGGGGTTTGAATTCAGGGCTTTGTGCTTCCTAAGTAGGCGCTCTAGGCACTTGAGCCACAACCCCAGCCATACCACACCTGGATCTTTACATACATCTTTATTTCTTAGGAAGGACTTTTGAAAGAAGAATTTCCAAGACCAAAAATAAAACCACGTTAATGGCTTTTTAGTGTATTTTATATTTCCCATCAGAAACTTGGTGTTTCTTTATTTGTTAATTTTAAATCTTTAAAGATTTTTTTCCCTTAAGTAGGCTATTAAAATATTTTCAGAAGTCACAAAGATCATACCAATAATATTTCCTGCGATTATGTATGAGCAAATGAGAATTGTGAAGATGTAACTCCTCTCTTATTTTGTATTGTTTCGTAGTTTTATCTTTTGGATTCCTTTAAAGATGTGATTGAGTTTGTGTAGAAATGTTTTGCAAGAAGGTTTTTGAGAGACGTGGCTTGCAGTCTATGCTTGCATGTTGGATTTCATTCTACATAAAACAGAAAGCCTTATAATAATGTCTTCGCATGACCTCTTGACATGGTCCTCTTGATTTTCCTATTTCACTGGTTCCTCCTCTTTGTTTCCTTTGCTGTTTGTCCACATTTCCATAATCATTTCCTCTGCCCTGAGAGCTAATTCCTCAAATCTGTTTTTTCTTTCATATCAAAACTCCTTTCGTTGATCCCTAATGTTATACTTTATGTTATCATCTATTTACTGATGTCAAAGTGTGTGTTTCTAGACTTGGCCTCCCCTTTGCATTTAACTTACTTATTTACCTATGTATTTGACATCTTCCTTTGTATATCTAAAATTTGTGCAAAACTGAACTCTTAATATCCGCTCTCACCCTATTTCTGCCTTTTGTATAATCCTTCACAGTTCAGTACCTGGCAGTATTTTAATTCCTTTGCTCAAGCCAAAAAGTTCGTAATCTTTCTGGTTCCCTCCTTTCATTTCCTAAGTCAGTAAATCATGTTGGCCTCATACTCAAAATCTATCCAAATCCTAACTATATCTCACCACTTGCCATCCTAGTTCAAGCCACATTTGTTTCCCATTATCTTGTAGTAGTCTGCTGTCTTCAGCTTTTGCCTTTTTCTGCTAGAACCTACTTCACAGAGTGATCCTGTTAAACACAGGTCAGCCCATGGCATTCTTCTGGGTGAAGCCCACCAATGGCTATTTTACTCAGTAAAAAGCAACCTGTTTACAGTGGCTTCAGAGCCTTGTATGTGTGATCTGCGCATGCACACACACACACACACACACGCCCCACACTCTGGCTCTTTCCATCTATCTGATTTCGTTTTTTGCTACACTTCCCTCCCCAGTCATTGTACTTTAAATGCCAGCTTCCTCCCTATTTCTAAAACAAACAAACATAGGCTTGTGTAGTCTTTGTAATTGTTCATCCTTTTTTGCTAGAGTTCTCCATGGCTTCCTCCCCTCCTTCCTTCATATGTTTATTCAACTTTCACTTTCTCAATGAGGCCTTCTCTGACCACTTTATATAAGATAGCATCCTTTCCCCTCTCCAGTTGTACCCCCACACCCTTCACTTCCTATCTCCCTTACCCTGCTTTTTCTCCATAGCTTTTCCCAATATCTCATGAGCAGTAAATTTACTTTCTCATTCATTCTGCTGATTTTCTTAACACCTACCCCTCTGCATCCCACCGTGAGGGTAGGATCTTTGTTTTGTTCATTTGTAGTATCCTCAAGAGTCTAGTGCCATATACATAAAATGTGCCCAGAAAAGTTAGTATTTGTTAAGTTAATCGAATATCTTTTAAAGTAAGAGATGTAATTTGGGAAATCAGACATATATGTAATATTTAAAGCCATGGGCATGGAAGCAATCTTCAGGGGAGAGAATTCATAGAGAAGAGGGCTATAGAAGGGACTGGTATGTCCAGTCCATAGCCAAGTTTTTTGAAAGAGGTTCTGTATGAATAGAGTTTCTCCATTCTCATCTTGCTTCTTTCTTCCCCTTTTTCTGACTGTACTCCATATATATGGATTTCCTTTCAGTTCATTGAGTGAGCCAAGCATCTTTATTCTCACAGGGCCTTTCGTACCTGCTGATCTGCTTGGATAGATTTCCTGTTCGTTACCATATGCCTTACCTAGCTGATTCTTCCTTACCTTTTAGGTGTCTGCTTAAAGGGCATGTCTTCAGAGAAATCAAATCTGAGCCACTAATCAATATAATCTTTAATATACTGTATTGCATAGTAGTTTGCTTTTCTTAATATAGTACCTATCACAATTTCTAATTCTACAAGTCTTTTGGATGATTACATGAAGTTTCAAACCTACTTGAAACCTGTTTTCATTGACCACAGTGTCCCCAGCATCTAGGTGCCAAAAGACTGAGTGAATAAGTTGCCTGAAGAGTATCTGGTTATCCTGATAACAGTGAGAGTAAATTGCTTCGAGTTTCTTCTCTGTTCTGGTTTTCACAAACAATAAAAATTCTAGTATCTAAATATATCAACGATACACTGACATTTCCTCAGCTTCTCTTTTTTAACTTTGATACCTTGCTTATTTCACGTTTTTCTGTTGTGTTTGAAAACCCTGCCAGCATGCATTTTTAATCAGATCTTTACTTTTTCTTTGTTTCTGATTTTGGTCTTCCATTAGGCATGTGTTCGATGGAATAATATATCTGGTCATCAAGAAGATGACAGAATCTTAGCTAAGTGTTCTACTTAAAGTAGACTATGTTAATCTGTAAATTTTTATTATTTTGCGCCCTTCAAGCTTGACAGTATGGTTATAATAACAATTGTATCATCTATTGCAGTTGTTGAAAGTGATACATTGACAATTGAGTCTGGACCACTTTCTAGTGAAGATAAACCACTTTCATGTCAAACAGACTTTGGAAAAGAACAAGGTATTTCTTTTTCTCACATCCTTGTATTACACTTGCTAGGCTCATCAGGTCTTTCCCCAGTAAGATTAAATGTAATAAATGAATGACAGGGCATTGTAGTGGGTTCAGAATTCTAAGCACTGAAACTAATTTTTGTTTTGGGGATTCCCACAGAAGTAAATGAGACTCCACCTGGCATGACTGTCGCTCAGAGCTCAGTTCTACTTCATCCTCAAGAAGAAGCAGTCAGAGTTAGAACATCAGCAAGGCAGAAACAGGTCATTTGAAATTTTATTTTTAAATGTTTCTTTCTTCTAGGTACTGTGATTTTGTTTGAATCATGTAATTTGTCTTACTTTCCAGCTGTTTTTGATTTCATGTTTTTCTAGTTTGTCTTACATAAACATTTGATAAAATGTTATTTCGTTTTCACTTACACTATTGATTTAACCCTTACCGTGTCTGCTTTATATTTTATATTTTAAACCTTTTATAAGGTTTTTTTTTTTTTAAGGCAGAGGCTCTCTTAAGAAAATTCAGTTGATCCTAGCTGGCCACGGGTGGCTCACACCTGTAATTCTAGCTACTTGGGAGGCTGAGATCAGGAGGATCAAGGTTTGAGGACAGCCCCAGGCAAATAGTTTGCAAGACTCCATCTCTTAAAATAACCAGAGCAAAATGGATTGGTAGTGTGTCTCAAGTGGTAGAAAACCTGCTTTGCGAGTGCCTGCTCTGCATGTGCAAGTCCGTGAGTTCAAGCCCCGGTCCAACCAAAAGAGAAAAAAGTTCAGTTGATCCTACATTGTTTCTGACACAGTGCCTTAAGTATTTGTTGAACTACCAAGTCCTCGTCATAATGTTAGATACTAAATGGGCCTTGTAATCCCAAAAGATTATTGAAAAGTAGTGTTTTAAAGGGGAAAAAAGCTTTTTGCTTTCTTTTTGTGGTACTGGCAAGCACTCTACTACTGATTGAGATCATTCATTTTTCACCCCTTAATACATCAATATCTTTTGCCTTTTTGTTTTTTGAGGCTGGTTCTTTCTGCATAGCCCATGCTGGGCTTGAACAGTAAGTTCATGTGGCCTCTGCATGCCTGGCTTCAATATGTATTTCTTAATAACAAGGACATCCTCTCACATAATCATATGACAGATATTAGATTCAGGACGTTTACCATTGATCCAGTACTTTACTCTATATTCATTTCTAATTCAGTCAGCTGGCAGTATTTTTATAGGATTCTTTCCCTCTGGGATGGGATCCAGTCTGAGATCATATACTGTATCTAGTTGTCATGTCTGTACTCCCCTTTAGTCTGGAGGAAGGAGTTGCTTTGTTTTGTTTTCTTGAGACGTGGTCTTGCTCTGTAGTCCAGGCTGAACTTCAATTCATGATACTCCTGCCTCCCGAGGGCAAGGATTACAGTCGTGTTCCATCATGTCAGCCTCCATAACTACAGGTTTGGTTTGATCTATACTTATTTATTGAGATGGTACTGGGATTTGAACTCAGGGCCTCATGCTTACTAAGCAGGCACTCTACCTCTTGAGTCACTTCACCAGCCCTGTTTTGTGTTGGGTATTTTCGAGATAGGGTCTTGAGAAGTCTTTGCCCGGGGCTGGCTTTGAAACCTCATCCTCCTGATCTCTGCCTCCTGAGTAGCTAGGGTGACAGGTGTAAGCCACTGGCTTCCAGCTTCTGCTTGTAATAAATGATTTCTTTTCAATTGAGAAGTAGGATTCTCTGAGCTAGTATTTCTTAGAAGTTTTCTAATCTAGAATGGTGGTATCCAGTAGCCCTTTTCATAATGATAATGTGATGTTCCATATCATATGCCCAGTGTGGTAGCTGCTAACCAGGTGAACTGTTGAATACTTAGTGTGACTAGTGTAGCTGAAGTACCGAACTTTAAATTTTAATTTGAATTAATGTAAATTTAAACAGTCACATGTGGTATGGGAATGTAGCTTAGTGGTAGGGTGCTTGCCTAGCATGCATGAAGCCCTGGGTTCCATCCCTAGCACCACAGAAAACATACAAACAAAAAACTTAAATAGTCCTATTTAGCTAATGATGTCTATTAATAATACAGTTCTAGAGTTGCCACAAGCCTGTAGACAGTCTAAATTCAGTGGCTCCTGTCGCAGAGGAGCTTGCTATAGCCATTATTGCCTGATTGAGAATAAGGAAGGAATCAGGCTGAGATATTTTTTATTTTGAAAACAAGATAGTCCTCATTAACTCTAATAGAAGCACTCTTTATAAAACTGCAAATGCATTCCTTTTTCCACTTATTTAGTAAACATTTATGTGTCGGAGACTACACTAAGTACTGCATTTGGCAGGCAACAAAAGACTAGTCCTTTGGCTTCCAGATAGAAATCAAAGTATTACATAAGACCTTAATATTTAATTTCTTTAGTCATCATTCATACAAATAAAGAAGTGAGTTTATAGATGTGAACATGGAATTTGGCTGCTCAGTGTTGATAGCTTCTCTGGAGGTGGTTCTTTGTGGTGATCACGGTTTTCCCACACTCCCAAAAAACAGAAGTAGTTAATATGCTTATTTCTTCTTTTCTCTCTGCTCCTTTATACTTTTCTCCCTTTTTTCTTTTCCTCTTTTCCCATCTCTTCCTCCTGTCATCCTTTGGCAGTGCTAGCAACACTTCATAGATAATAGATCCACTTGCTGACAAGACCTATTTCTTTTTTAATGTAATGCATATGAAGTTTCTTTTGTATGAGCTTGTTGTTAACAGATCAATAGTATTTTTTATCACCTAGATAATGGAAATAGAAGAGCAAAAGCAAAAGCAGTTAGAATTACTGGAACAAATTGAACAACAGAAGTTAAGATTAGAAACTGATTGCTTCAGGGCTCAGCTGGAAGAAGAAAAAAGAAAAAATATTCAACAGACTAAGGTAGGATGCAGGAAATCTCATCCCTATATAAACCATTGGGGGGGGGCGTCAAGAAATATGGTCATGACAGTCAGAAAATTAAATGCCTTTCTTTTATTTGACCATTTAATAACCTACATTTGCAACAACCTATGGGTTTTTTCTTTAGTTTCTGTTGAGCGCTAATATAGGTAAGACTGTGATTTGTGGGAAATGTATGTTGAGCTTTTGGACTCCGCACTAGTTGTACTAGCTGGTCTCACTGAGGTGTTGTATGAAGTCGGGTATTGCTGTGTAGCCCAGCATGGTCTCCATTCTCCATGGTCCTGCGTCAGCCTCCCAAGTGCTGCATTCAGGCATGTGCTACTGTGCTGGACTTTTTTCTGTTTTTTCTTTTATTTAATTAACTTATTTGTAATGTTTAGAGCTGAGCAGACATCACCACTAGATAAGTTTGTTTTTAAGAACACTTGGTGCTTTTACTTATTATTACAGTGCTGGGGATTGAAGCCAGGATCTTGTGCATGCTAGCCAAACACTCTACCACCAGTCTACATTCCTAGTCCCACGTGCCTAATTATAAAGTACAAAGCTACATGAAAATGTATAATTACAGAACATTATATGAGATATTTTAGTACTTGCTTCCAAAGTGTGCCTTTTAATTAGTTTTTTCTTCTTTAGGTTGGCACTGCTCTGGCATCATGCACTGTTATTTCTGATGAAGATGGACATAGGCAGATGATTCGTAACTATCAACAACAGCTTTTACAACAAAACAGGTATTAGTTTAAGCATAATTTCTGTCTGACAGTGTGCTATGTCTTCAGGATTTATTATTTGTTTATGTGATACTCTAGCTGGGAGTCTCTGTATCCCAAGATAGGTTGGGATAGAGATTTCCCCAAGGGCAGTAGGAGTGTTGTTCCCTTTCCACCATGATCATGGACAGTCCTAGATTGCTGTTTATTAAATTGAATTTATAAACACTTGAGAATGTAAGACATTTTTCGTTCATTAAAAAAAATAATAATATACTTGTTTTTCTGCTTGTTTTTGATAGGTTACACAAGCAATCTGTTGAAACTGCCAGGAAACGATTACTAGAGTATCAAACTATATTAAAAGGAAGGTATCCATCCATGTCAGCCACATCTTTGATATCTGATTCTGTTATATCAATACTACCACAGAAATCTGAAAAACGTACTGCTATATCAGAGCATTGGAATCAAAGTCAGAGACTCAAGTTAAGTCTTAACATGCAACCCATACAGATCTGTAAATTAGAACAAGATCATATTCAGGTACCAGGACAAAATCACTTTCCACAAAGACAGATAAAAACAACAGAAATAGTAAGAACTTCAGATGTTTTAGCCAACATAGAATCACAGGAATATCTAAGGCAGTTCTCTAAGACTGAAACACAACAGAGAGACTATAAATTGGTCCCTAAAGATTCTCATAAGCTTTCAGGGGCTTTGTCATATGATCAGCCACAGGTATTACAGGGTGCTAGAGAAATACCTGAAACACTTAGGGTACCAACTTTTCAAGCTTTAGAATCTCAACAAATATTATCAGATGACAGTGAAAATATATCCTCTAAGCACACTGAACCATCTTCATTCCTACCACTGGCATCTGAACATTCTTTTACTTTTCTCCCTGTTAAAGTTGAGTCTGGAAAAACTCAGGAACCCCTTTCAATCATAAACAAAAGTACAGTTTCCATAGGCCATTCTGCAATCAGCCAGATACATGATCATCCTTTGACATCCTCAGAGACTATCGCAGCCCAGCAAGGTCATTTGAAGGCCCTTCAAGAACAGTTAGAACTACAGAAGAGTATTCTTCAGGCAAGACAGGAGCAGCTGCTTTTGTATAAACAAAAAGAACTGGAAGAACACACTGGTCTCTCTGCACTCCACCCCGTGGTGACTGTAGATTCACATGCTTCACTGAGTTCTGCCAAAGCTGAACCTGGGAGATTCCAGGATTCTTCTCCAGCCAACAGAGCTTCTGTGCTCCCCTCGGGTAATCCTGCGCTTGCACAATGGGAGGACAGGCTTTTGCATTTTTCACAGCCTATGGTATTGCAGCAAAGTAATTTAAAATTTCTCCAAGAACATTTGAATATTCAGAGGGATGTCCTTCAGGCTAGGCGCGAAGCCCAGGAGGTCTTACTTGTACATAAACAGAATGAATTGATGGAAGGATATGTTCTGAACAGGCTGAGCCCTCTTTTCTGCCACAGCAAGTAACTCAGCACATGTTTACTTTACTACCTTTCGCTAATACAAAATCTAAGAGAAAGGGCTTTTCTCAAGCCAGTCTGAAATCTCAGGATCTCAGGATGGATCTTCGAGTTTCCTACAGCAGTTCCCACCTCTATCAGATAACTTTAAGTTGTTCCAAGAACAGCAGACCACACAGAGGGATATGCTTCAGGTTAGACCTGATGCTCAAGTGGGATTACTTTTACATAGACAAAGGAATTTGAGGGACAATATGCCTGTCTCACCAGCTCAGCATTTAGACGCTTCTCAAGCTTCTACCGAAGCTGAGCCTCCAACATTTCAGGATAAGTCTCTTAGCTTTCCACAGCATGGCCTGCCAAGGCAAGAAAATTTGACAACATTCCAGGAACAGTCACATGTACAGAGGGTAATACTTGGAGCTAGACAAGGAACTCAGGAATTTGTATATAAACAAAGTGAACTGGAAAAAGGAATTTCTTCTGAGCAGCCCTGCACCTCCTCTTCATCCCAGGCAGCTGAATTTGAAGGTTTACAGAGTTTATGTCGATCAAGAGTAACAGTACAGGTCCTTTAAGCCATTCTAAGATTCTAAGACTTCAGGAAAGTTTTTTGAGATTTTCACAAGATACACTACCTCTACAAGGTCATTTGAAAGAACACCAAGAATGTCTAGCCACAGAGAAAGAAGCCTTTCATTTTAGCAGAAAACCCAAGATAATACATCTTCTGAACAAACTGGCTTATCTTCATTCATACCCCAATCAGGACAGCTTTCATTTATATCCTTACCTTCTGCCTACTCTGGTACAACCCAGGAACAAACTGGCTTATCTTCATTCATACCTCAGTCAGGACAGCTTTCATTTACATCATTACCTTCTGCCTACTCTGGTACAACCCAGGAACCTGTTTCAATAGACAGTAATAATAAAATAACTGCAAGCTATTTTCAGATCCCAGAATTGCAGGACAGGCTTTCGAAGATAGCACAGTGCATCAGCCTCAACAAGGTAATTTGAAGGCACTTCAAGAACAAGTAGCTGCACAGAGGGAAGCCATCATTCAATCTAGATGGTAGCTCAGGAAGAAATACTTTTACATAAACAGAGACGTTGGAAGGGAAGACTATCTCCTGAACAGGTTGGTACCTCTTCCTCACAGCATTCATTTGCTTCATTACCTCTTACTGAATCTGAAAGAACTCAAGAACTTTGTCCAACTAACAATAATACAACCTCCTGAAGTCATTCCGAGATGCTGATTTCCTGATAGGCTGCTGGGTTTATCACATACTGTTTTACTCAACAAGATAATTTGATTGTACTTCAAGAACACTTGCATGCACAGACAAATTCTTTTCCTTCTGTTAAAAAAAGCCAGAAAGAATTAGTGTTGCCCAGACAATTTAAATTTGAGGAAAAGGTATCTTCTGAACATTTTCCAGTCTCACCATGGTGATTTGAAGACGCTCAGCAGCACTTAGATGTACAAAGGAAAGCCATTCAATCTGGACAGGAACTCCAAGAAGAACTGCTTTGCAAAGATTAAGTAAATTGGAGAAAAGGGTATCATCGGAGCAGGTCAGTTCCTCTTCATTTTCATCCCAGGTAGCCCTGCCTGTTGCTGACTCTGAAGGAACCCAAACGTCTTTCCAAACCAAAAGCAGTGATACCGAGATGCCAAGGCAATCGGATAGGCTTTTGAGCCCTTCACAGCCTATTCTGCTCAGCAAGGGAATTGACAGTGCTGTTGGACTTAGAAAGGGAGGTGTGTCCTAATGAGAAGCCCCAGGCAGAGCTTTTTAAACAAACAAAATAAATCTGCTGGTATGCTGTCCCCTCTTTATTGCTATCCAAGGAAACAGATCATTCATTCATTCCACTGCCTTTTGCAGAAGCTAAATCTAAAAGCATTTGTGAATTGTATTCTAAAAATGAACATGCAGCTCCCTCAAGTGATTCTGTGACACCAGGGTTTCAAGATAGGCTTTTGAGTTATTCACAGCCTTTCTCAGCTCAGCAAGATAACGTGGGTCTTCAGAAGCAGTTGGATCTACAAAGAGTCTTGCATTATAGTCAAAAAGCCCAAGAAGAATCGCTTGTACTGAGACAAACAGCATTGCAACAGCAGATACAGAAACATCAAGAGACCTTGAAGGATTTCTTTAATAATGGTCAGATATGTTTTAAACTTAAATACCTAGTATTAAACAGTAGAGGTTTAAACCTGACTCACATTTAATTCTCGGCCTACAAGTATTGAATTATTGAGAGTAAGTGATTTGATCTCACCTGTGCTTTTATTTTCTATACTAAACAATGTGGAAATTAAAATTCATCTACCTCATGTGGTGTTTATGAGATTAATAGTTAGAACCCAACTAATTTTAAATGCTAACACCATGAAAGAATATAAATTTTTGTTGTTTGTTTGCCTTTGTGTGCTGGGATGGAGCCTAGGGACTTGTGCTTGATAGGTAAGCACTGTAAACTGAGCTACATTCCCAGTAAGAATAGAGGTTTTGGTTTTGTTTTTTTTTTTTTGTGGTACTGGGTTTTGAACTGAGGATGTTGTGCTTGCTAGACAAGTACTTTACCATTTGAGCCACACCTTGTATATAGTTTCTTATTTGATACTTTGTTATAATGAACTTTAAGTTTACCATAGATTAAAATTGTAGACATAACTGGTTAGCAGAAAGTTTCTTATGTCATAGCAAACCTTGGGTTCTTTGTGTATAGCACTTTGTTGACATTATATGTGAATCAAAATCAGTACTCTCTTTTTCCTTAATTGACATTGCTTTCACTTGTTAAAAAGCTAGCATGGTTGTAGGCTGATGTAGAGCTGGACCTGCATCTGAATTGTTGAGAAGACTGGCTTAGTCACTCAGACAGTTACCATAGTTCTTGGAGACAAGAGGGCTTTCTCCTGAATATGAATGTATCCATATTGTAGTCGGCCATTTCTTAAATTCATTATTTAAGTGTAAACAGAGTTCTACAACTCTTTGAAGTTCGGAGAACTTGGGTTGAGTCCAAGAGAAGTTAATGCCTGTTTAAAGAAAAAGTAATGCAAATGAAAAGCAGAGAGGAATACCCAGGTATAATCTCTTGTGGAGAGGTATAGAGGAAGCTAAGTTTTTATGTCCAGGGCTGTGAGTGGTTGTACTTCTCAATGGGAAGATCAATTTTTTAATATTAGAATCATATCTCATGTTTTATCTATGAATAAAATTGTAGTCATGTGAGTGATGGAACTAGTTATTTGCTGAGGTTCTAATGTAAGAAGGGAGATCTAAATGTAGTGCACTCCTCACATAATCTCAACATGTGTTATCCCCACTCTCATCTGTCCACTTTTTCAGGCAAGTCAGCCTACAGTTGAAACTGGTTTAAGAATGCAGAAGATGGAGCAGCTCAGAGAGTGCCTTCCAATATTCAAGACTTACCAAGAGATGATCAGGAAAGCAATGTTACGCAGATCGGAACACCTCTGATGATAACCATCTGCTTTCAGAAGCTGCTAGTGCCTCACAACGGAGTAAGGTGATTGCATTTATTGTAATTCTGCTGATTATTTTTGCTTTCATCTCCTGCAGTCTGCTGTTTGGAGAATAATATGGTTGTTGATCTTCATTGTGCTTAACTTGTTCTCTCGGTAGGTGAGCATCTGGACAAAGAACCAAGCAGAAATGCCTCAAAACCACCTGTAGCCAAAGTTAAATGTGGACTGGACTTAAACCAACATGAACTTAGTGCTATACAAGAAGTGGAATCACCAGCAAGTGGCAGACCTTCTACACCAGGTGAATAGATGGTTGGATGAAAGTTTTTTAATGCTTTGCCAGTTTTCTACATTTTTTCAGGATACCAAAATTTATCTAAGACACTTAGTCTTTGACTACTTGTGAGAAGAAAAGTTTGGGTTTTTTTGTTTGTTTCTTTTTGGTGGTAGTAGGGTTTGAACTCAGGACCTCGTGCTTGATAGGCAGGTGCTCTACCACTTGAGCCATGCTCCCAGCCCAAGGAGAAACTTTTTTTTACTTAAAATAGTTTTTAAAACTTGGATTTAAAAAAGTACCATTAAGTAACTATTTTTTTTTATTTTATATAGGGGGAGACCAATTTACAGCAGACAAAAATCTTCAATATCCCATATTCTAACACTCTTATTCCCTCTGCTTCCATTCCTGTTTTTCTTCTAAACATGTTTAAGATGTGACTCAGTTCTTTTTGCTGTTTTTCCTTGCCACTTTTCTACTTTAATACTTTCCTGATTTTCTTTTCACTGCTGATTATGATGTTTAAAATCCTTAGGAACTGGGCGTGGTGGTTTGAGCCTGTGATCCCAGCTACTCCAGAGGTGGAGAGTGGAAGGATTAAAGTTCAAGGTCAATCTGGGTAAAAGGTTATCAAGACCTATCTCAACAAATAAGCAGAGGATGATGGAGCTTGGTGGTAATGTGCCTGTGATCACAGCTAGGCAGCAAGCCCTAAGTAGAAGGAGGCCACATCGGAGGCAGCCCCTAATCAAAAAGCCAAGGCCCTACCAAAAAATAAGTAAAACAAAAAAGGGTTGACAGTATAGCTCAAGTGGTAGAGCACCTGCCAAGGAAAGCAAGGCCCTCAGTTCCCTACTGCCAAAAAAACCCCAAAGGAATCCTGGCTTTAAGGATAATTAGAACAAACCATAGTCCCTTACCATATTTCTTACCTATAAAAATTCCAACCTGCAGTATTTTGTAAGCAGTTCTTTGAATTTCATAATCTTTTTTAGATTTCAGACTCAACCGAATAATTTTCTTGATCAGATTTATTAAAGCAAATCTTTTTTCTTGGAGTAGTGAGGTTTGAACTCAGGGACTTAACACTTGCAGGCAGGAGCTCCACCACTTGAGCCACACACCCCAGCCCTTGCTTTAGTTATGTTTTGAATAGGATCTTCTTTATGCCAGGGCCAGCCTAGACCAAGAGCTATTTATGCTTCCCATGACTCAGGGATGACAAATGTGCATCACTATGCTCAGCTATTGGTTGAGATGGGTTGGCCTCGAACCTCTGTCCTCCTCAGCTCTGCCTTCCAAGTAGACTGAAAAGCACAGAGAGATAGACAAAGACATGGCTCAACATCAGCACAAGTTCATTCAGGAGAAGAAACCTGCAGAGGGGTTCTCCAGCCAGAGAGCTAGAGTCCACTGTCACTTACAGACTGGGGGGTTTTATAGGAAAGGAAGGACCTAGTAAAGGGTCAGGGAGGATTTCCCATTGTGACTTGTCCATTGTCCGTTGCTAGGGGTAATCAAAGAACTGGGCCTTGTGTCCTGATACAGGTGCTAGGAGCCAGGGCATTTCATTTATAGACCAATGGCAAGAATAGGAGTTGCTGGGGGCAGTCAAGGAGCTAGGGCTTTCGTTCTGGCACAGGTGCTAGGAAATAAGATGTTTCCCTTGGAGTGTCCGTCTCTTCGGGAGGTCAAACAGTTTATGATGGCCCAAGTGATGTCAAGTTGAGACAGCTAGGATGTGAGGCATTGTGCCCAGTTAGCAAATCTCTCTTTTTTTTTTTTAAAGGGCGTGTGTGTAAATGAGCTTTTTTATATTTCTTAGCAACATACATAGAAGTATTGTGTTACAATTAACTATTTTGGTCTTCAGCCTTTTTCTGTTTGAGAGAATTAAGGAAGATGGAAATTCAGAGTAAGTCTTAAGAATCATTGCACTTTCTGCACTTTTATTATATCTCATGGAACTTATGGAGTAATGATTTTATTTATTCCTAGCTTTGGAAGCTTTTTTAAAACTGTTTTGCATTTGATAAACCACAGCTGTTCAGGAATTGAACAGTTCGCCCAATTCAGAATGGCTATGAGGGAATCCTCAAAAATGTCATGTTGTATAAAGGAAAATCAATTTATCTCCTTTATCTTTCAGCTCCTCCCTGCTACCTTTGGTGAATAGAACTCAGATGGGAAGGCTTGGCCCTTCCCTTGGCTATACCCTTCTCCAACACCCAATAAATAAGTCACCAAATTTCAGTTCCACTCTGTGAACTCCTAAATTTGCCCAGTTCTTTCCATTTCCACTACTACTTATTTACTTCAGGCAGTCATTTTTTTCGTGGATGACTACCTTACTCCCAGTGTTTTCCTAGTTTCCAGTCTTGCTTTACTCTAAACCAATTTTCCCATGTTATGTTTAGAGTAATCTCCTTCCCTTTCCTCATTTAAAACTTTCCATTGGTTTCTTTGTATTTGAGCAGTAAATTTAAATAAATCAAAGACCCTAGCTTTATCTGCGAAGCCCTTCATGGTCTTGCTGGCACCATTTCTCTGGTAAGTTTGTCCTGAACTGACAAGTTTCCCCTTTCATGTGCCCTTTGAGAGCTCTCATAAGATAGCTGGTATCATACATCTTTAGGTAATACATCTTCAGGTAATACTTCTAAACAAAGTATTACATACAAATAGTTTAAAAAGCCAAACATTGCCATATACCGTTAAATAGCAGTTCTTCTGAATCCTACTCAACAATCACTTCTCAGGTGTCCTTCTTGGATTTACCACCATGGTTGTATTGGATTTAAGCAAAAATTCAGCTAAATTATCATTTTAGTGTAAATATTTTTTACTGCTTTGACAGTTGGTACAGTATGATTACATTTCTCTCCATAAACCTTTTGTCCTGTTGTAAGTCAACTTTTTTCCATTTGCCTAAAGTTTCTGTAGAATGGATGGCTATCCTTCTACATTCTCTTAATACCTACACCTCTAAATACAATTTTCTGTGAAGTTGACACTGTTTCCTCTGCCATGAAAACCTTTTTAATTGAAAGCTGGATGGCTTTACCAAGGTCCTTGTTTTTTTAGAGCCTCATGCTACGGGGCAGGTACTTAAATTATGTCTCTAGTCCTTTTTTGCTTGCTTTAGTTATTTTTTCAGATAGGGTCTTGCATTTTTGCCTGGGGCCTCAGACCTAGAGGTGATCCTCCCTGTGGCCTCCCTTATAGCTAGGATCAATGCTCACTTGAGCCATCATGTCCAGTTTGCTGGTTGAGATGGGCATCTTGCTCTTTTTTGCCTGGTTTTCCTCCTGATCTCCACTGAATAGCTGGGATTACAGGTGGCAAGCAAGGTCATTCTTAGAGCAAAGTGTTACTTGCTCGAAGGGGGAGGGGATATAAAACTGGTTTGGGAGTGGAGGTGAGAAAACTTACCTTTTTAAAATGTGTACATTTAAAAAGCACAGCTATACATTGTATCTGTAGTTATTAAACTTTGATTTGGGTAGGCCAGATAGAGAGGGGGAAAAAAATCTAAGTAGACTCTTTGGGGTTTGACAAAGTTGAAAATGTTGATCTGTATAATCTTCCAAGTCTTCCTTTCCCCAGTAGTTCATTTATTTTGCTTTTGCTCTCTGTGCAGATTTCCTTAACTCTTTTATCCCAATATGCTGGACTTTTATTTTGGTTATCAAATTGTAGTTTCAAGAGGTTCTTTTTTTCTCTTGTTTTTCATGTATAATGTTCTGCTATTGTTTCATGAATGCAGAATATTTAAATTTTTGTTCTTTTTTGAGAGTGCTGAGATTTTAAACTCCAAACGTTGAACTTGCTAGACGGTGCTCTATCACTTGAGCCAAGCCCCAGCCCTTTTTGATTTAGTTACTTTTCCAAGAGGGCCTCATGTTTACATTTTTAGTTGTTGATTTGGGTTCTGCTTTTCTCATTTTGAGTTGGTGGGTTTTTTTTTTCCCCCTGTATGTGTGTGTGTGATTTGTGTCTTATAGTTTACAGGCTTTCTTCTATACCTTTGTATATTTGAGTGAGATGCTGAGGACTGTATGGAGGTCCTATGGATAGAACCTTATTTAGTTGCTGGACTTCATGGGGAAAGGTGTGACTTTTTCATCAAGGACCCTCAATGTAATACCTATAGTTCTTTTTCTTTGTAAAGAAAGATCCTCTAATGACAGCAAAAGCCTGACTTAAGTGTTATAGAGCCAGAACTGGGGGCCTGAGTTGATGCAGACTTTCTTTACTAACCCTGATTTTCCTTATGGCATTCTGTCACTCCCTTCTACACTTTCCTTCTTTCTGTGCCTGATCATCCTGAACTCGGAGCGTATTAAATTCAGTTTCTCCAGAAGATAAACTTTCAGTCTCCTCTGGGGATGATGTTGAAGGACAGGGATAGCAGGAGACCAGAAGATCTAATGTTCCAAGTACATAGTTTTAAACATTATCCGTGTTTTTTGTCCCTGAAAATGAGTGTCTTCCTTTTGTAATACCTGGTGCCTTTAATTCCCGTTTTTTTCTGGGTTCTGCACATTAAATTAGCTTACTTCCTTCCAGTATTGCACATTCCTTTGATTACTTATTTTTGTGTCAAAGCATGACATTCAGAGGTGCTTATTTCAGTGATTTATCAGTAAAATAAGTCACTGAAATCAGATAAACAACTGAAATAACCATGTAACCAACACCCAGGACAAGAACTGGAACACTAGAGGGTCCTTTATAGGGCTTTCCTCATGCCCTCCTAATTACTATTCCCTAAGCTCCTATTTTGTTGTGGCTATTTTTGAACTTTATGTCTATCATTTATGCATATTATATCTTAAACACTACTGATAGTTACTAGATTATCCAGGTATTTTTTTTTCATGTGATTAATCACCACTGATATATAATCGAGTTAGGTAGTAGGGATATCATTAAAATCTTAGTAAAATTTAAAATAAAGGCCTGACTGAATGATAAACAGTCATTATTTTTCTACTACATAAATGGGGTCTTTAAGAGTTTAGATTTTTACCTAATTATCTAAATTGCCATTTTAGTTTTAACTCACTCAGGAAACTTAAGTGGAAATTTAGTAAGTCAATTCTTTTTACTACTCAGGTAAACCAAATTTTCTTCAAGACAGAGACCCCATGAGGGTCTCAATAAGCCGAGAACAAAGTTTCCTTGGGAGTCCACTTGCTCATGACCCATTTGGTTGTCAACAACTACCTGTTCAGAAGGGCATCAAAAGTGATGACTCTGATGAAGCAGGTGAGAGGTAAAGAAATTGAAAGTAGAATTGTGCACAAGGATACATGGACAAAAAAGAATTGCAGTAGGGTTACTTATGATAGTGATTGTATGGTACGCCCATACTCTGTTGTTCTATGCATAACAAATTACCTGGGCTGGTAGTCATCAGTGTTGATACAGGCTTACCTTTGTTGGAGATGTGGTTTCATTTTCTATTCTGTATGCTCATATATTGTAGATTTTTAAAATAAGCATGTATTTATGTTTGTACAGAAAATTGAGGGACTTGAAGTTTATTGAAAGTAAGTAGCTTTGCTTTTAAAATGTTTTATTAAATAAATACCAACAGGAAGTATATCAGGATGAGTTTATGTAGTTGGCAGCTCCATAAATTTTATGTTTAAGCCTATTTGTAAGAGTCTACATTGTAAGTCAAGTATTATGAGATATTTTAAAAATTCTCTCTGTGGGATTCTAAATGAGCTGCTTCATTTGTAAATATTTGGAAAATAATTGTAAGGAACTTTAAATCAATTAATGCTACCACCTGGTAATAACCGATGTTAATTTTCTTGCTTTTGAGTGTATACATGTATACAGAAAGCTATTTTCTGTGTAATATTGCTTACTGACCTTACAGAGTTGTAGCACTGCTCTGTTATATGTGACACACCTCTTAAATGGTTAACTTTCTACCCAGATTTCTTAATTTTAGCTGTCACATATATTCAGATAATTGGTATCGTAGCTATATCTGTAGTTAAATAGAATGAGATGAGAGATTTTCTTCTTGAGGGTTTATAGAAAAAAATTGACTTTAGCATCTGCTTTTTAAACTGTAGGTTAAAGTAAATGTAACATACAGAATTTCTAGTACATTATAATTCTTATCATTTTAAAATAAAACTGTTACATCATTCCTTTAGATTAATTACACCAGCGTATACTTGTATTTTCCTTTTATCTGTATGTCCTCTAGCCAAAGATTTTGGAACATACTATAGTTGAACAGAACTTGGGTGTCTTGACCTGTTCAGGCATCAAGGGAAAATGCACACCAAAAGCAAACATGAGGCTTCTTAATAAAAGGGTATTAGAAAAAAATTACAATTATCTGTCTATCTTAAAGGTTCTTTATCTGCAGATCAAAAATAATTTCAAAGGCTGTGGTATAGCCCAGTGGTAGGGCACTTGCCTAACATGCATGAGGCCCAGGATTTGATTCCCAGCACTGCCAAAAGGGGGAAAAAATTATATCAACATGTACAGACTTATCCCTTGTCATTATTCCCAAAACAATATAGTATAACAACCATTTACATAAATAACACTTACTTTATATTAGGTATTATAAGCAATCTGTAGATGATCCAAAGTATATGGAAGAATGTGTGTAGGTTTTTTTACTATGCCCTTTTATAGGAGGCACTTGAAAATCCACAGATTTGTTATCTGCAGGGGAAGAAACAAGGTTTTGCATATTTGTATTGGGTGCTGTCAGGAAGCAGAGGTAATTCTGTTATGGGGTGCCATAAGAAAGTTTTATCTGGAAGGAAGGAAGAATGCAGTAAGGTAAAGTTGTAATTAGTGAAGCAACAGCAGTCACCAGGATAAGGGATGCTTGATCATTTTTGTGTTTTGGACAATACTCATGGTTTTGTCTGCATTTAGACATGATTATGAGTGGTCTTTTTTTGCCTTCCACAATCACAGAGAGGCTTCCCCCCACCCCCGCCCCCAAGCCTGGCTACACAGTAAACCCTGTCAAAACACAAAAGCGAGCAGCCTTTTCTGGCATTGGCATTCCATGAAATTGTTGCTGTTTAACAGGGAAACACCAAGACCTAGCTAATAATTCTGGGTTGGCCCCTTACTCTGTCAGGGCTGCTTTTCTCTTTCTGAAAGTATTGCCTCAATTTGATTATTTTATTTTAGAAGTGTCTTATTGTATTACTACTTCTCCATTTTCTCCCTGCCACTTAATACTGGTCAATCCTCACACTTTAATTTCTTACTAGCCTTTTAGGTGTACTCACCAACTTTTGAGTTTGTACCCTTTGCTTTTGTAGGACAGCAGGAAATGGTGCCTTGTGCATGTTTTGGGAAGATATTCAAGGTGGGCTTTCATGTTACTTCCCCATTTTAGAACCAAATCTAACTAATAACACTTAATTTCTCTTCCAGTTTCCAGGGTTCTATCCAGTGAATTTTTGAATGTCTGACTTTGCTTCTTTCTTTTACTTTTCACTTCTTCTTGGTACCCAAATGATACCCTTCACTCATCTCTCCTCTGAGGTGGTCTTTTGGTACATTATAGATAATAGTGAATACCTGTGATCGAACTGAGAAATTTCAGACTAACTTCTCACTCCTAACTCACTTTGAAATAGACCACTTACAAAATGAACATGACTCTGCTATTTTGTTTCTGCTTTATTTATCTATGATATAATTGTGGCGGTTTTTGTTTGTTTTGCAGTACTGGGTTTGAACTTAGGGCCTCATGCTTGTTAGGCAGGTACTCTACCCTTAAGCCACTCCACCAGCCCTGTAATGTTTTATGAGTGAATATATGCACACACATACACATGTAAATGTACGTGTTTATGTATTGGGTTTCCACTTAAAAATATTTTACACAAACATTTGAGAAAATAATATACCTTTAGCATATGTGATCTTTTAATTAATATGGTGGTAATAAGGCCAAAATTTTTATATTCAGTGGAACTATTTTTGTTTCAGAGCTTTCTCACAAATTCAAACACATATTAATACTCAGAACTTTTTTTTTTGTACTGGGGTTTGAACTCAGGGTCTCACACTTGCTAGGCAGGTCCTCTACCACTTGAACCACACCACCGAGCCCTGCTTTGCATGGGTATTTTTGAGATATTGTCCTGCAAACTGTTTGCCTGGGCTGACTTTAAACTGTGATCCTCCTGATTGCTGCCTCCTGTGTAACTAGGATTATAGCCTGAGCCACTGACACCCAGCAGAAAGTACACATTTGATATGTTCTAATATGTCAGATATAATTAGGAATAATTTGTTAAGCTCATTGTGAGTTTAGGAAGCACTAAAAGGTTTAAACAAAGTAAAATTTGAAGCTGGGGTTATAGCTCAGTAATAGGATGGTTGCTTAGCATACATAAAGCCCTGGGTTAGATTGCTAACAGCAATAAGTAAAAATTTAATCAAAGCCATGTTTGGTGGTATATATCTTTAGTCTCATCATTCAGTGGATGAGCAAGTGGATTGTTTTAGCCCAGGATTTCTGAGGCCAATCTGGGCAGCATAGCGAGATCCCATCTCAAAAGTGGAGGGTGTAATTAAAAATTACTCATTTTCCTAACTTATTAACAATCACTGATTACACGTTGATATTTTTCTTCAGTGTCTCTTCTGTGTTAGGAAAAATGCTGCTCAAAAGAAAAGCGCATGAGAAAAGTGTCATGTCCAAGAGCAAGGTTTAATAGCAGGCTCGAACTGCCAGCTGGCCAGGGAAAGATGGTGCAGCCCAGACTCTGGGCTAGGTGTGGTTTTTATGAAGAGGGAGGCTTAAGGAAGTTAGCGCAGGTGCAGGAGTCTCTGTTAGGGGCGGAGCTCTTAGAGCACCAGAATTTCTGTTGGGGGTGGAGCTACCTGAAAGCTCATTTCTCAAGAAGTGAGGCCTGAGGATAAAATGGCTGCTGATTCACAAAATGGCAACTTTATTCTATCATTCTGCATGTATTTAAACTGTACTTATGATTGTTCTTGCTTCTCCACATTAAAATGACAAAAGTATTTCCCACTACTTTGAGTCTTTTCCGCTTTTAGGCTGTAGTCAGGTGTTTTTATAGGGATTTATTTATTTATGGAGTAACAGTGACAAATAGTTTGCTTTTGTTTTTATTAAAGCAGTGACTGCTGTTTCATTAAAAAACCAAAGTGAGTTTGTTTGGTCTAAGGTAAAGCAACTTTAAGAAGCAAAAATATTAAAGGAAATTATAGGAGAGCAGGGAATGTTGACTCTGGTGCTAAGAATTTAATTTCCTAATCTATCCCCTCCATTTTGAACTTCAAAACCCATTTTTTAGTCAAGGTTCAGAAACCTGATGTTGAGAATCATGCAGTGTTAAGTTATGCTTTGGAGGAAGAAGAGTATACATGTCTGAGTCCAACTGTGAAGCCATGTGATAAGGTTAGTAATGTCTTCATGTATGCTGAATTCTTTCTCTAGTTTACCAAAATAGTAAAATCTGTGTTCTCTGAGATCTGCTTTTATTGAAGTGGATCAATGATGAAAATAGCCAATCTGATATCAGAAGACCTCACAGTCTGCCTGAACACATGATCTCTAGAGTTTGAGAAGCAAAACTACAAAGTAATTTAAATATAGACTTGTGTGTGTGTGTGTGTGTGTCGTGTGTGTGGGGGGGGGAGGCACATGATGTGTGTAAGGCTAGTCCTTTCTGAGCAATGATGAAAAGGTTTTACTACTGACCTAACTATGAAGGTTTCTACACTTGACCTGAGCTCAGAATTGACAACTGCTCATGTTGGTGTTTAAACTTTTTCTAGGTATTGCTTGATAATCATGCTCTAAT